GTGTCAACAAGTTATCGCATGGAAAATGTATCATATTTTCTTCCCAATATTGGCATCCACAGCTCAAGAGTAATCCAAACCTTCCTTTAAGATACTTCAACTTTGAAATCTGGAAGCTGGTGACAAGAGGCATTCTCCATTTATCATACAGGAACCGATACCCTAATTTAATAAAATTGGCAAATTAGAACTTACACAGCCTAGTAATGTCAAAATGGTACACACAGCCTAGTAACATTGTGAACCTTTGTTTGAGCAAAATACACCAGTGCTGAAAATTCAAAGCCAGTCAGGAAAGGCATTTTCAATTTATTGCTTATTTTCCATGGCATCACATAGTATTTATTACATTATATAATGCTCTATCATACATAACAATTTACTGATATAGTTACAACCTAAATTATTCCTGTTCAGAATTGCTTTAATATTTCTTTAAGAAATATTAAAGTAATTCTGAATTAGGGCATCAATTGATTGACAAGAATATAAGCATCATCCTGACTGCATGATTAATGCCTCTTATGCAAAAAAGTCATCATTCTATTTCAAAAAATAATAAAGAGTATTCATGTGTTGAGAAATAAGGTCATTATAAGAATGGATTATTATTATAATCAAAAAGAAGCGCTAAGCCACAAGGGCTATACAGAGCTGCAGGGCAGGAAGGAAGCGAGGGCATCAGGTGGCAAAAGGGAGGTGGATGAGTAATAGGTTACGGATAACAGCGGAGCAGTGGATGGTGAAAGGGTAAAGGGCAGCAAGAGATTGAGCTAGAAAGGGCTGAGGGGAGTGCGTAAGGTATCATCATCAGAGTTTGTGGAGTAAATCAGTCGTTGTCAAGAAGTCAATGAGAGAGTCAGGATTAAAGGAGGGTCCATCAGCAAGAAGGGAAGGTAAAGAGAGAGTAGTAGAACGAAGACGGCGTTGGAGGTAAATTCTGCATGCTCGTTGATAGAGAGGGCAGTCTAACAGAATGTGGCTAATCGATATTATAAGAATGAAGATCAGTAAGCATATGTTTCAGCAAGTGTTCTTTAAAACAATATAGGGAATATATTATCCTTTGAAGGAGAAACTAAGGAGCATCAGTTAATAACAATTAGGAACATGGTAGTGCTTATGTGTACTATTACTTTTATTGACTTGAACATAAGAAGGTTTAGGTAGTAGGTTGGTAGACAGCAACCACCCAGGGAAGTACTACCGTCCTGTCAGATGACTGTGAAACAAAAACCTGTAACTGTTTTGCATGATGGTAGGATTGCTGGTTTTCTTTTTCTGTCTCATAAACACGCTAGATAACAGGGATATCTTGCTACTCCTACTTACACTTTGGTCACACTTCACAGACATGCACATGCATATATATATATACATACATCTAGGTTTTTCTCCTTATTCTAAATAGCTCTTGTTCTTTTTTATTTCTTCTATTGTCCATGGGGAAGTGGAAAAGAATCTTTCCTCCGTAAGCCATGCGTGTCGTATGAGGCGACTAAAATGCCGGGAGCAATGGGCTAGTAACCCCTTCTCCTGTATACATTTACTAAAAAAAGAGAAGAAGAAAAACTTTATAAAACTGGGTTGTTTAAATGTGCGTGGATGTAGTGCGGATGACAAGAAACAGATGATTGCTGATGTTATGAATGAAAAGAAGTTGGATGTCCTGGCTCTAAGCGAAACAAAGCTGAAGGGGGTAGGAGAGTTTCAGTGGGGGGAAATAAATGGGATTAAATCTGGAGTATCTGAGAGAGTTAGAGCAAAGGAAGGGGTAGCAGTAATGTTAAATGATCAGTTATGGAAGGAGAAAAGAGAATATGAATGTGTAAATTCGAGAATTATGTGGATTAAAGTAAAGGTTGGATGTGAGAAGTGGGTCATAATAAGCGTGTATGCACCTGGAGAAGAGAGGAATGCAGAGGAGAGAGAGAGATTTTGGGAGATGTTAAGTGAATGTATAGGAGCCTTTGAACCAAGTGAGAGAGTAATTGTGGTAGGGGACCTGAATGCTAAAGTAGGAGAAACTTTTAAAGAGGGTGTGGTAGGTAAGTTTGGGGTGCCAGGTGTAAATGATAATGGGAGCCCTTTGATTGAACTTTGTATAGAAAGGGGTTTAGTTATAGGTAATACATATTTTAAGAAAAAGAGGATAAATAAGTATACACGATATGATGTAGGGCGAAATGACAGTAGTTTGTTGGATTATGTATTAGTAGATAAAAGACTGTTGAGTAGACTTCAGGATGTACATGTTTATCGAGGGGCCACAGATATATCAGATCACTTTCTAGTTGTAGCTACACTGAGAGTAAAAGGTAGATGGGATACAAGGAGAATAGAAGCATCAGGGAAGAGAGAGGTGAAGGTTTATAAACTAAAAGAGGAGGCAGTTAGGGTAAGATATAAACAGCTATTGGAGGACAGATGGGCTAATGAGAGCATAGGCAATGGGGTCGAAGAGGTATGGGGTAGGTTTAAAAATGTAGTGTTAGAGTGTTCAGCAGAAGTTTGTGGTTACAGGAAAGTGGGTGCAGGAGGGAAGAGGAGCGATTGGTGGAATGATGATGTAAAGAGAGTAGTAAGGGAGAAAAAGTTAGCATATGAGAAGTTTTTACAAAGTAGAAGTGATGCAAGGAGGGAAGAGTATATGGAGAAAAAGAGAGAGGTTAAGAGAGTGGTGAAGCAATGTAAAAAGAGAGCAAATGAGAGAGTGGGTGAGCTGTTATCAACAAATTTTGTTGAAAATAAGAAAAAGTTTTGGAGTGAGATTAACAAGTTAAGGAAGCCTAGAGAACAAATGGATTTGTCAGTTAAAAATAGGAGAGGAGAGTTATTAAATGGAGAGTTAGAGGTATTGGGAAGATGGAGGGAATATTTTGAGGAATTGTTAAATGTTGATGAAGATAGGGAAGCTGTGATTTCGTGTATAGGGCAAGGAGGAATAACATCTTGTAGGAGTGAGGAAGAGCCAGTTGTGAGTGTGGGGGAAGTTCGTGAGGCAGTAGGTAAAATGAAAGGGGGTAAGGCAGCCGGGATTGATGGGATAAAGATAGAAATGTTAAAAGCAGGTGGGGATATAGTTTTGGAGTGGTTGGTGCAATTATTTAATAAATGTATGGAAGAGGGTAAGGTACCTAGGGATTGGCAGAGAGCATGCATAGTTCCTTTGTATAAAGGCAAAGGGGATAAAAGAGAGTGCAAAAATTATAGGGGGATAAGTCTGTTGAGTGTACCTGGTAAAGTGTATGGTAGAGTTATAATTGAAAGAATTAAGAGTAAGACGGAGAATAGGATAGCAGATGAACAAGGAGGCTTTAGGAAAGGTAGGGGGTGTGTGGACCAGGTGTTTACAGTGAAACATATAAGTGAACAGTATTTAGATAAGGCTAAAGAGGTCTTTGTGGCATTTATGGATTTGGAAAAGGCGTATGACAGGGTGGATAGGGGGGCAATGTGGCAGATGTTGCAAGTGTATGGTGTAGGAGGTAGGTTACTGAAAGCAGTGAAGAGTTTTTACGAGGATAGTGAGGCTCAAGTTAGAGTATGTAGAAAAGAGGGAAATTTTTTCCCAGTAAAAGTAGGCCTTAGACAAGGATGTGTGATGTCACCGTGGTTGTTTAATATATTTATAGATGGGGTTGTAAGAGAAGTAAATGCGAGGGTCTTGGCAAGAGGCGTGGAGTTAAAAGATAAAGAATCACACACAGGGTGGGAGTTGTCACAGCTGCTCTTTGCTGATGACACTGTGCTCTTGGGAGATTCTGAAGAGAAGTTGCAGAGATTGGTGGATGAATTTGGTAGGGTGTGCAAAAGAAGAAAATTAAAGGTGAATACAGGAAAGAGTAAGGTTATGAGGATAACAAAAAGATTAGGTGATGAAAGACTGAATATCAGATTGGAGGGAGAGAGTATGGAGGAGGTGAACGTATTCAGATATTTGGGAGTGGACGTGTCAGCGGATGGGTCTATGAAGATGAGGTGAATCATAGAATTGATGAGGGAAAAAGAGTGAGTGGTGCACTTAGGAGTCTGTGGAGACAAGAGAACTTTGTCCTTGGAGGCAAAGAGGGGAATGTATGAGAGTATAGTTTTACCAACGCTCTTATATGGGTGTGAAGCATGGGTGATGAATGTTGCAGCGAGGAGAAGGCTGGAGGCAGTGGAGATGTCATGTCTGAGGGCAATGTGTGGTGTGAATATAATGCAGAGAATTCGTAGTTTGGAAGTTAGGAGGAGGTGCGGGATTACCAAAACTGTTGTCCAGAGGGCTGAGGAAGGGTTGTTGAGGTGGTTCGGACATGTAGAGAGAATGGAGCGAAACAGAATAACTTCAAGAGTGTATCAGTCTGTAGTGGAAGGAAGGCGGGGTAGGGGTCGGCCTAGGAAGGGTTGGAGGGAGGGGTAAAGGAGGTTTTGTGTGCGAGGGGCTTGGACTTCCAGCAGGCATGCGTGAGCGTGTTTGATAGGAGTGAATGGAGACAAATGGTTTTTAATACTTGACGTGCTGTTGGAGTGTGAGCAAAGTAACATTTATGAAGGGATTCAGGGAAACCGGCAGGCCGGACTTGAGTCCTGGAGATGGGAAGTACAGTGCCTGCACTCTGAAGGAGGGGTGTTAATGTTGCAGTTTAAAAACTGTAGTGTAAAGCACCCTTCTGGCAAGACAGTGATGGAGTGAATGATGGTGAAAGTTTTTCTTTTTCGGGCCACCCTGCCTTGGTGGGAATCGGCCAGTGTGATAATATAATAATAAAAAAAATAAGAAGGTTTATCAAAAATCCAATGTACTTTTAAACCTCTATGTAACTTCTCTTTATGTCCAATAAGAAAAACGTTAAGACATTTTTTTATATAAAGTCTTGAAATAGAAGGAAGAGTTGACTGGCACATAAAGCCCAGATAAATGGCATACATGGTGTGTTTAAAGTCAAGTAATGAATTAAAACACAAAAATATTCATTTGATTTTGTCAAAGGAATATTAAAACTATTTATGTAGTATGTTACCACTATTTATTGCAGAGAAACCATTAATTTAATTACAACCCAGGAACAAAATATTAATTGCATTGTGGGGATAATTGAGCAGTATAATATTGTTGGCACTGCTCTGTGGTACTTTTAAAATTACATCAGAAACTTCATAAGCTTCAGATTTTGGTTATTCCTATTATATAAAATATTCATTTTAATAAATTTATTGACATAATAAACCAGAAATTTATAAACCTTTTACCTATAACAAAAAAATCAAACAAAAGCCACAGAAGTCAGTGAACACTTTTTTCAAGAACACTTATTTTTGATGATGTTACTAACTGTAAAGTTGGAGCAATGAAATGATAAATATAGCTGCCTCAAGTGCCATTGCATGAAGGATTATCTTTTGTAGCAGAGGCAGCAATGTTCGCTCCAACTACAGGCAGGTATCATACCATTAACAAGTACACTATATAGCAAATGTCTTGTTTGGGTAACATAAATGATATACTGTACTCTTTGCAAATTAAGTCAGTACATGCACATTATTTGAAAATAAAACAGTAATGGCACTTGGCAGAATATTTATACTGGTAAACATGCAAAATCCCTTGACGGTGAAAAGTGCTCAAAGTAAATGCTGTAATGTGCGTGAGTGTAAAAACTGGATATCTACCATTATAAGACATTAACAACCACTTGATGCAGGGCAGGGTTAGGCCCCCACCACTCAGGGAATCTTGCTGAACTATCCTCGCTGCTATAGTCCTCCATGCAGAACTTCTCATATAAGAATAAGATTGACTGTCTCAGTGAAACAGTAAATGAATTCTAACCTATTCTGTGTGCCTAAACTAATACAACAGAAGCATGGCTATTTGTTAACTCTCCTGTGATGAATGGAGCCCTGATGTTCTACAATATTGGCTGAGGACTACGAGGCTACCTACTAATGATCCCCAAGGCAGATGATGGTACCCAACCTGTGCATCCTGGACCCTTCCTGCACACTGAACCTAAGTGAGCATGAGGGGGCATAAGTGGGCATATCACAAGGTCACACGGCACCTCATGGAAGACTCGGTACAGCTCCAACCAGACACAGTAAAGAGTAGCAGGAAAGGAAAGTGGCATCACGCCATATATTCTAAGTTAGAGTAATTTAAAAAATTACATTTAAAGTTTAATATTGAAAGATTTTTATACAGCAATAATCAATATTTTACTGTATTTGTAGTTGCATTAGTAGAACTATGCATGCTCAGCTGTATTTGTGTATAATTACCAATAAGTAACTACAGGAGCAGAGCTATGCTTATCCTGTCTTTAGTAAATAATTTATTATATACAGTAGTGGATGCAACACATGGTGTCTCCTCTTTCTATACCATTCCATTATTCCACAACAATGTTTACAAAGAAAAAACTTTCTGTTAACCTTTCAACACAACTAATGCCTCTATAGATGTAGCATTCTCTTGTTAATGATACTAAAAGGTTTTCTCTATCTCTTCTTATGCATCTTTTTTGTTTACAGTTGTAGTTATGTCTTCTTTCTTTCCATACCCAAAAAGTGCATTTTCATATTCTGTTTTTCATAACCTTCTTCATTTTCTTGCTCTGGGAGCAGTTTTACAGTTTGTACAGGATTTTTTTCTTCATCTACACTTTGTCTTGAGGTGCACCACTGCATATCCAAATTTTGGCTTAACACATGCTATGTGCTCAAATATTATGTACGTACATACACGTGTGTGTGTGTGTGTGTGCGCATGTTTGTTTCTTTGTTTTCAATGATTTGTGTTTGTATGTGCATGCATACAGTATACTGTACAGTGGATAAAAGGAAAGCAAGAAGTGACGTGTGCCGTTATCACTAATGGCTAGAAGGAGCTCTGGGGTGGCAACTATGGCCTACACAGTACAACATAGTAACACACAACTTTGTTTTATTCTGGTACATTTCCTAACAATGAAAAAAAATGTAATGTGAGATCACAGCATTTTGTTCCTTATAGAAGAATAATAATAGTGATTAGGAAAAAATTTTTACAAACCATGATTTTTTCTAATATAGTTCCCATAGTAATTAATGCTTTTGGCCAAGCATGGAACACAACAAATCTCATAACATATGGCATGAATCTGAAGAGCTCACTTCTCTCAATTTAGCATTAGTAAACTCTAACTTATAGAGGCATGTTAACGGAGGCAGAAAAAAAAGTTATTTATCTTTTTTATTATCTTGCATAAATGCTGCAGATGTTCTATGTAATGCTTTGAACCTTAGGTCTTTTGATTCTCTCAAGGAAGGTTCCTTGATGCTGGGGAGGGGCTCTGGATCTAAGGAAATGGAACTGTACTCCAATTGCTTGAATTGAACCTGAATGCCTTCCATCCCCCAAGACACCAAATGACCTATATGGGTTTAGTACTCTCCCCATAAATACAATGAAAATAATAATTATAATAACAACCCATGGGGAAGTGGAAAAAGAAGTCTTCCTCCGTAAGCCATGCATATTATAAGAGGTGACTAAATTGTTGTGAGCAAAGGGCTAATAACCCCTTCTGTATAAATTACTAAATATAAAAGGTAAAAACTTCATAAAAGTTTTTTTTGAGGGGTCACCCTGCCTCGGTGGGAGATGGATGGTGTGTTAAAAAAACAAAAATAATCTTTTAATTAAAAAAAAAAATTAATTTGCTTACCCTGGACAGATAAGATATTGAGGGAAGAAGCTCATCAGTTCCAAAAACATAAATTCATGTACATATATGTAGCAAACAGTGCCATCTAGACTCACCCAAGCCCACTCATCCCATTTGGTGATGAAGGTACAATAGGCATAGTTTGCACCTACAGTCAGAATGTAAAACAGTTAGCATTCTATATTATGCCTTGCAAATTATTCTTGTATTAATGTAACATTTGTTATGTAAACCTTCATTCTCAAATGGATGGACTCAGGAGGCAAAAATGCCTAATGTGCTGTTTTTAAGTTTGCTATAATATAGTAATGGTTGTATCTCAGTATATTAAATGAAAATAATAAATAAATGCTCATGCTTAATGTAATATGAAGAAGGTAGAAACTCTGAAGCTGAGTTTTCATTGTCAATATGTTTTTATGGGCTCTGCTAATGACATTTTTATGATCAGCATCAACAAAATATTTAATCACCATTTTTATCTCCTGAACCTAACAACTGTCCGCTATAGAAGATGGACGCCTATTCAAATCTCAAGCAGTTTGCTTGCAGTCTGTAAAGTCTGAAAACTTCAATGGCTAAATATCATAAGTTATCTCTAGATTAGTTACTTTACTAATAAAACGACCACTTATATGAGCACACCATTATCTGATGATCTATTATTGCTATATTTTTCCTTAAGCTACACTGTCATGGTAGATTCTCCATTGCTGATATATTATTGCTATAGTGTACTACAAAAGGTTAAACTGCATTAAATACAATAAAAAGTAACTATATAAATACCACACTCAATTGCTTCTACTTCAATAATTCTATTGTTTAATTTAACATGCTCGGAGGTCATTCAGCAAATGTTCTTTGAACACTGCCAAAGAATTTTTCAAACTTTACACGTAAGGAAATAAATATCGCCTTTGAATATTTGTTTGTACTTGGCTTTTGAAATGTATATATGATGGCATAAACCGATATGTTGGCAGATATGCAACTATTCAAATTCACAAAATTTAGCCCTATAAGAAGACTGAAAATGGTACATCAACAGTGTGTTATTGCTTCTGTTTCTGTGAGAAGTGATATTACCTTTTATTTTACAAAGTCAAAATCCTGCATTTATGAAGCCAAAATTAACAAATATTTTTGAGTGGTTACATTAACCTTGAAAATGTAGAGAGCATATATTTTGTTGTACAGTATTTCTAATCCCACAGCATGAGTTAATAATTTGTTTAACGTACGTATTTCTGTTCATCATACTTAGTAAAAAAAAAAAAAATCATTGCTACAGAATAATGTGAATTTATATATTTTACTCTTAAAATTTTAAGAGATACCTGCTGTTAAAACTTTGTAAACTGGATTATACAGTATATATGTACTGATGTAATTAGGTTATACAACATACATGTATATATACTGATTTAATTGTATGTAAATGAACACATACAGTATGTAGCACTAAGGATACTTTACTGCAGGTTATGTATCATTCAGCAAGAGTTTTATCAAGCCTAGTGAGTGAAACATGGCCTGAAATAAAAGTATCCTTAATAATGCATATGTATCTATATTCTTAATCTGTCAGTACTCTCTTACCCTTCATACTCTCATGTATTGATCTGTAAATAAATTCAACATCACTTGAATATAGAAAAAAAAATACTTTTTCATAATTTACACTGAAACATTTTGAATATTCTTTGTTGTAACTTTCTCTAATCAAAAATGTAATCTGAACTTCTGAGTTTAAAGTGTACATAAAGTATAAAAGAGAGCCTAGTAATGCAGCATTTCATTGCCTTACACCGTTAAGGAATCATAATGAACTTTAATAGTGTATTGTGTTGAGTGGAAGAGAGTGCATCAAGGAAGACATGTCATGGCAGCTTAACATCACTTAAAGATGTGTTGCAAAGAACCTGCTAGAAAGGACAAGATATAATAGCTAAGGTAAGGTAATAATAGGTAAGGACCTGCCTTGTGTGGGCCAGTAAGCAGACAGCATCCCAGAAAGGATACCATGATAATCTAGTCTATATATTTCACTTCAAAGGGGTGCTTTAATGATGGTGAAAGACTTTAAACCCAAGGAACTGGATTTACCTTCCATAGATCAAACTTCATTACCTCTGATTTCCCAAGTGCTGTATAACCCCTATGTGTTTAGCACTTCCCCACAAATATAACAGTGGGTCTAGATGTAGCCTAATGTGTCAGGTACATATCAGCTTGCAAATTACACTGCACAGCATCAGGCCTCTTGACAGTGTGTGCACTAGGAAGACAATACATGTAAACATTTTTTTTTTAGCAGTGAATATATGTAATTAAGGCAACATCTCTTACATGATTTTGATGTTTACGGTGACTCAACCCTGTCTGTAGTATTGCATGGTTATTGAACATGATATCTTAATAATGACTATCTAAAGTTACAAATTAATTATTTGCCATTGATATTTGACATTTAAGCTTCAGTCACTATAAATACCTGATCTATATAATGAAAATCATGCAGATATTTAAAAAGCTGAAGGTGGGGTATTAATGTTGCAGATTTATAACTGTAGTGTAAGTGCACCTCTGGCAAGACAGTGATGGAGTGAATGATGATGAAAGTTTTTCTTTTTTGGGCCACCCTACCTTGGTGGGATTAATAATAATAAATTTAAAAAGCTGACTACACAGGTATTTTGATTCAATGTAATTACTTCTATCCTAGTGTGGTCAGACTGGAGTATGACGTGTGTCAAAGTGAGTCGTGCAAGGTTTCACTAACATCTGTGAATTGTAAATTCAGCCTGAGGGCCTCTAATGGTTTGCTTGCTGCTTCAAGCTTTTTTCCTTCCACTAGCAGACCTTGAACTGGTTCTTAAGTGTAATGTCTTCCACAATGATGCACTTCTTTTTTCAGTCACATAGTACACTAGTTTAATCAATCACATGCTTAAAATTTAAACATAACTCAGCAAGGCTTTAAATTTTGGAAAGTAAATAATAAAGTAAAGTAACAGTGCTGGCAAATGATTACTGTAGCATTTTTCAAAAGTCGTCAGCTAGAATACACAGGGCTAGGATCTCGTTAACAAGAATTAGAACCTCACTCCATGGTATCATACTGCACCTTTTTCACCTTGAAGTAACGAAAGATGGCATAGCCAATGACGGTGAGGAGAGTGGATCCTGCCAGAGCGGCGCCCACTGTAACTGGTACTAGTTCATCCCTGTGGACTCTATGGATGCAGTGCTTGGCTGCCATGGATAGAAAATCATAACTATTGAGTCACTCACACTCCACTCCTGTACTGTGTTCTAATAAACAAGAATTTAAGTATATATATGCAAGCAAGGATATGAAAATACATTCTCTGAATGTATTTGCAAGGATGTAGTAATATAGTACTCATATTTCTCTGAAAGTATAGCCATGATGCTTTTTCTGAATATATCTGCAAGGATATGGCAATACGTACGTTCTCTGAAAGTATCTTCCTTACAGAAGGCTTGGACACGGACTTCATCAAAATGGAGTGTAGCAGTGTTGTTAAGTTTGTCAGTAAGGATCACATCATGGAGCAGCAGGCAGCGGAAAGACTTTTCATTATTGGTTCGCCAGTATTTCTGGTCATCCTTGCTTGCCACAGTCACTTCACCCCCACCTGTCCAAATAAAAAATGAAAGGTGAACAGCTTGTTCAAAACACTGCATATTGGCTATATGAGAATATTTATTCAAACTAGTACTGTATGCTAAACTAAACTACCTATAACAAAAGGGTAACAAAGACTGTGGTCAATGGCAAACTGACTCACATGGAGATAATTGAGCAGAAGTTAATATGAGTACTATACCAGTATTTTAGTTCTACACTGAGGCCCTTTCAGCAAACGGAACAGTGATCTACAGTGATGATCTAGATAAGAGAATAAATAGTGATAAAGATGACTAATGACAAAAAACATTTCAGCAGATACACTCTGGAGGATGCCAAGAACCTTCACTGCAATTTGGTCAAGTCAGTGTTGTAGTCAGAAACATAGCAGATACATTTCAGCCCAGACAAATACACTGCTTCAATCACGGTATAGGAAAAATAACCTCTGCAATCATACACTAAAATACTGCTAATCTTAGTATAATTTTTGGCTTGTTTGGATCTCTGGTATGTTAGAGTTGGGAAGGTTTCTATTATTATTTTTTTTTTATTATCACACTGGCCGATTCCCACCAAGGCAGGGTGGCCCGAAAAAGAAAAACTTTTACCATCATTCACTCCATCACTGTCTTGCCAGAAGGGTGCATTACACTACAGTTTTTAAATTGCAACATTAACACCCCTCCTTCAGAGTGCAGGCACTGTACTTCCCATCTCCAGGACTCAAGTCCGGCCTGCCGGTTTCCCTGAACCCCTTCATAAATGTTACTTTGCTCACACTCCAACAGCACGTCAAGTATTAAAAACCATTTGTCTCCATTCACTCCTATCAAACACACTCATGCATGCCTGCTGGAAGTCCAAGCCCCTCGCACACAAAACCTCCTTTACCCCCTCCCTCCAACCCTTTCCTAGGCCGACCCCTACCCTGCCTTCCTTCCACATACAGACTGATACACTCTTGAAGTCACTCTGTTTCGCTCCATTTTCTCTACATGTCCGAACCACCTCAACAACCCTTCCTCAGCCCTCTGGACAACAGTTTTGGTAATCCCGCACCTCCTCCTAACTTCCAAACTACGAATTCTCTGCATTATATTACACCACACATTGCCCTCAGACATGACATCTCCACTGCCTCCAGCCTTCTCCTCACTGCAACATTCATCACCCATGCTTCACACCCATATAAGAGCGTTGGTAAAACTATACTCTCATACATTCCCCTCTTTGCCTCCAAGGACAAAGTTCTTTGTCTCCACAGACTCCTAAGTGCACCACTCACCCTTTTCCCCTCATCAATTCTATGATTCACCTCATCTTTCATAGACTCATCCGCTGACACGTCCACTCCCAAATATCTGAATACATTCACCTCCTCCATACTCTCTCCCTCCAATCTGATATCCAATCTTTCATCACCTAATCTTTTTGTTATCCTCATAACCTTACTCTTTCCTGTATTCACTTTTAATTTTCTTCTTTTGCATACCCTACCAAATTCATCCACCAATCTCTGCAACTTCTCTTCAGAATCTCCCAAGAGCACAGTGTCATCAGCAAAGAGCAACTGTCACAACTCCCACTTTATGTGTGATTCTTTATCTTTTATTATTATTATGACCATTTTTGTTTTCTTTGAGGTTTTCATCACCTATTATTGAAGTGCTTTTTAGTTTGTGTCACTAAAATTTTCAAAAGGAATTTTGTGCCTTTTTCACATAAATACATTTTCATGTACATAATGTTTGTATCATTTCCTTGTAATATAGTACTGTACTGTATTTGATTTTATTTAAACTCTATGTTATGTCCTTGTAATAAAACTTTGTACCTGATTTTTTTTAAATCTTTGAAATACTTCGTTCATATGAATATGACTTCCTCTTTGGTAGTTCAGTCTAGCTTACTTGTATTACTTGCTATCTGTGATCACTTTCTCAAATAAATAATATTTTCTACTGCAGATTTCTTTTTGGCATTAGTATTCTTTAGACTTCCCCCAAAATATTTTAGGATGACTTCAGCCTCTTTACATTGCTAACTGAACCAGAGCAAATCTTTGTGTTTTATGCCTTCCTTGCAAGTTTTGTTTAGTTTAGACAGCTTATTATGCCTTCTGGAGCCAGTCCATGCCCCACTGTACAGAACCCTGCTAGAATTTATCTAGTGCCTTCATACTGTTCCTTCTGTAAGTTAACTTGATACCCCTCCATTGCCCCAATGAAAAAGGTATTTGGACATGATTATATAGTTATCACATGTTCCCAAAGTCCCTTCAACTTTGTCTATCATATGTCAATTTTATCAATGGTCAGTATCAAGCTGAGCTTGGCCTTTTCATGTTCTTTCCCAGTAAACGAGCAACAAGCTGTACAGTGTTCAATAGGATAAAGGTATCGTTTCCTCCTCCTGTAACAAGGATCATCACTAAGGTAGTTCTCTACAGAATGACGACTGGGCACACACTTGTCACCCATATCTACCTGCTTGCAGATGCTCTTACTCCTCTGTGTGTGACCTGTGGCTGACCATAAAACAACTGGCTTCGGCCTCTTCACTTGTATGCTCACCTGGTATGTCCTGGTCCGTGTCTTCTCCATGCAGTAACCCAGCACCCACTAGCACCACCACCACAACCAGCAGAAAATATCCAGCAACCACCACCAGACTGTGTCTGGAATTGGCACAAAGATAAACAATTTGTGCCCAATCCCCATCAATTCGACAACAATGGAATCCACCTGAACTGTACCTTCAGTAGTGCTGCTGATGAACTTACCTTTTGGAGCTCTATTTCAATGAACCTCCAATGAAAATGATAATGATGGAAACCAACAAATACTACTAATATACAATGGCAAACATGTTTGCTTAACCATGATCATGGCTTCACAAGGCTGAGATGTACCCTGGAAAGACAACTGTGGCTGAGATGTATCGCTTTGCCATAATCATGCTTTTGCCACATGTGTGTATAAAAACCATACTGCTTCACACTAGTTGACTGACTGCCTTATATGTACCCTGGCATTCAATGATCTCATGCCTATCAACAGATTTATCCTGCTGCTGCATATATTACACTTCTCAGACAAGATGAGGCACAATGAAAGTGGCATGGTATACAACCTTAGGGGATGTTTTTATGTATCTGAAACATAAGTTTAAAGAATTCTTTTATCCTTCCTGGAACCTTGTCACTGATGAGTTTTTGATCCTGTTCAAAGGTAGACTATCATTCCAGCTATATATTCATACTGCTCATTTTATGTGGTCGTGAAAGTTGCTTTTTACTGGATCTTAATGTGTACAAAGGAAGCAAAATACTACAAGATCCCAGGAAGTTATTAGGTATCTACAGTGATGTGGTGAAAAAGTTATGGAACCATATATTGATAAAAGGCATACATTATCCACTGACAACTGGTACATAAGCCCCTTGCTCATTTATTGCCTGTGGGTGAATATAACATATATTTGCGACTGTGTGCTAAATGAAAACACATGATCAAGTTCAGTACAAACATTGGTACTGGTGAAGTGCAGGTGTTCTATGCAAATGACATGGCATTTTGGTGGCATGACAAACATGATGTGACATTCCTGATATCCATTCATGAGCACAAAATAAAAGACAGAAAAGGTGAGAAGAGAAATGAATGAACTCACTTTGAGACTAACTGCTGTTATGAATTACAGGAATAACATGCGATTGTAGACCTATGTGTCTGGAAAAGTTATAAGTGGTACATGACACTTTTCTTCCATTAATTTGACACTGGGGTATACCTGGAGTATACATGGAGAGGGTTTTGAGGGTCAGCACCCCTACGGCCCAGTCTGTGACCAGGTCTCAGGTGGATCAGGGCCTGATCAACCAGGCTGTTACTGTTGGCCGCATGCAACCTGACATACGAACCACAGCCCGGATGGTCAGGTACTGACTTTAGATGCTTGTCCAGTGCCTTCTTGAAGACAGTCAGGGGTTTATTGGTAATTCCCCTTATGTGTACTGAGAGGCAGCTGAACAGTCTTGGGCCCCTGACACTTATTATTGTATTGTCTCTTATCATGTTAGTGACACCTTGCTTTTCATTGGGGAAATGTTGCATCATCTGCCGAGTCTTTTGCTTTCATAGGGAGTGATTTTCATTTCCAAGTTTATAGATCCATCTGCCAACTTTTCCTGTTATTCCTTTATCACACATTTTGTGCACTATTACACCATGGTCACACTTTTCAAAGGCTTTTGCAAAGTCTGTGTACACAACATCTGCATTTTGTTTGAATTCTAGAGCATCCAGGATCTTGTCATAGTGGTTCAGTAGTTGGGACAGGCAGCAGCAACCTGCTCTAAACCCATGTTGCCCTGGGTTGTGTAACTGATGGGTATCTAGATGAGTGGTGATCTTGCTTCTTAGAACCCTTTCAAAGATTTTTATGATGTGGGATGTTAGCACTATCAGTCTATAGTTCTCTGCTATAGCTTCACTGCCCCTTTTGTGGAAAGGGGCTATGTCTATTGTTTTTAGCAGCTGTGGGATGACCCCTGTGTCCATGCTTCTTCTCCATAGGATGTTAAAAGCATATGATAGGGGTTTCTTGAAGTTCTTGATGAACAAGGAGTTCTGAGTCTGGGCCTGGGGCAGAGTGCATGGGCATGTCATTTATCACGTTTTCGAAGTCATTTGGTGTCAGGATAATATCACATAGGTTTGAGTCTACCAAATTCTGTGTCTCACTCATAAAAAATTCATTTAGGTTTTCGACTCTCAATCTGGTTAGCAGCTCGCTAAATTCTCAGTCATATTGGGACTTAAGTAGCTCACTCATTTCCTTGCTGTCATCTGTGCAGTACCCGTCTCATCTAAGTAAGGGCCCAATACTGGATGTTGTACTCGGCTTAGATTTGGCATAAGAAAAGAAATATTTCTTTCAATTTCATTTATGGCTTTTAGTTCTTCCCATGTTTCTTAATTCCTGTAAGATTCCTTTAGCTTAAGTTCACTGTTTGCTATTTCTCTGACCAGTATAACAGATATATTGGCCTCCTTTAGCTGTTCTGTTATTCTTTGCCTTCGCCTGTAGAGGGAGCACCTTTTTTTTCTAGTTTACATCTTCTCTTCCTTTTTCTGAAAGGAATATGCCTTGAGCATACCTCGAGTACCAAAGAGTTATTTTGTTCTAGACATAGGTTTGGATCAGTGCTGCTTAGGACATCTTCCCAGTTTATATCATTTACGACTTGGTTCTAAACGATATAAACTGAAGTTGGTGAAGGAACACATACATGTCTGAACCTCTATTATGTTGTGATCTGAGTATATTGTTTCTGATATGGTAATATTCTATATCAGATCATCATTGTTAGTGAAGATGAGGTCCAGTGTATTCTCCAATCTTGTTAGCTCTACTATTTGCTGGGTTAAGATGAATTTGGTGCAAAGATTTAAAAGCTTGTGTGTGTGTGTGAGTTTTCATCTGAGCTGCCTCCTGGGGTTATCTTTGCTACAGCATTATTTGCTACATTCCTCCATTTTAGGTGCCTTAGGTTGAAATCCCCCAGGAGCAAGATGTTTGGGGCAGGAGCTGGAAGATTTTCCAATGGTCTATTTTCAAAACCTGTTCCTAGAATTGTTGGGAAGTTGCATCTAAAAATCTAAGACTTGTATACAACCACTATGACCAGGTTTTGGTTCTCTATCAGTACTACCCAAACTTCAACTACGTCATTTGAGGTATTTAGTGGTTCTGAGCATATCAGTGACTCTGTGATGTACAGGCAACCCCCCCCCCCTCCTTTTTGCCTTTCACTCAGTTGCATCTGTATAGCTTATAACCCGGGATCCACATTTCATTGTCAAAGTGGTCCTTTATGTGGGTCTCTGTGAAAACCTTGAACATTGTACTTGACTTTGTAAGCAGTCCATGGATGAAAGGTATTTTGTTGTTCATTGCTGGCTTTAGACCCTGTGTATTTGTAGATATGAATGTTGTAGTATTGGTGGTTTGGGGAGGGTCTTTTTTTCCTGGCACTAATATCTGTTGTTTAGGAAATGTTACACCACACAGTGGCTTCATCAGTCCAATACAAAGCAGTTTGAGTTTACCTCAAACTCCTCCTCTCCTTACACCTTTCTACTTTGTATTGGACTGATGAAGCCACTGTGTGGCAAAACGTTTCCTATATAAAGATTCCCATATGTTGCATAAGTGTCTCAATCTTCAATATCTGTTGTTTTGGAATGGAGGCCACTGACTGTGATTCTGCTCAAGAAATGATCGAAGTTGTGTACAATTTCTGTCATTTCCTGCCAGCTTTTTTTCCTTCTGGCACTAATGTGGCTACCCAGGTTTTCCCATGGTCTGGATTGTATCTTCTTGTATTCTTTAGGTGGTGTGCCTGACAATATAAGTTACTGCACTGTCTTTCCTGAACTGAAGACTGACACATTTCAGGGTGGAAAAGCTTACAGGAAGGAAGGTTGTCATATGGGAACGGCATTTTCTGGGGTGGTCAAAGTTGCACGTCGCATCTGTTTTTCCAGATATTCCATGCCTGCAGATACCTGATGCACAGAATATGAATAGGTCTGATTTCTGTTTGCCTTGGTTTTTCGTGACTGCATTCCCTACTGGTGAGTGTTTTTCTGTCTCTACTATCTTCAGCACTTGTATTAACAATGGTGCCTTCAGCAGCATTTTCTGGTATTTTATCTTCGCTATTCTTTGGGGCATCCCCTTGTTTACTATCTCCAGTGGTATTGCTAGTTTGTAACTTTGGGTTTTGCATGTCCTTGTCTACACCTTTTTCCCCACTAGAGCTCCTGTCTCCCTTCGGGCCACCAGCTTTCATTTCTGTATTCTTACAGTTACTGTCTACCAAGACAGCATCTGCACCAGGAGCAATAGCACCATCTGGCTCAGTCCTTTTATTTTCCCATCTGTTATAGAATGCTGTCAGGTTTTCTATGAAGACCATTTTGATGTTTCAATCTTTAAATACCAATGTGACTTTTTTCCACAGTTGGTTCTCATTTGGTCATTCCCAAAAATACTTCCCTGGTTTAATATCTCTTGTAGATACTTCCTGAATATCTGCACAAGATGCATGGGCCCATTTCCCACAGAAGCTGCACATAATCTATGCAGAAGCCCATTTGTTGCTGTGGTTGCAAGCTTCACAGTGATGCAATGCTACAAAGAGATGAGATGCTTTTCAACAGTGGTTCTGAAGTAATTGACAGATAGGGGACCTTTAACCCTTTCAGGGTCGACAGGCCCTCTCCTAAACCTGTTCTCAGAGTCGAAAAAAAAAAAAATTCTTATGAAATGATAGAGAATCTTTTCCCGATCATAATGACACCAAAATTATGAAATTTGATAGAAAACTTACGGAATTATGCTCTCGCAAAGTTAGCAGTCTCGACAATGTTTACGCATCGGCGATTTCGCCTACTTTGAGCCCCATTTTTGGCCAATTCCAATGTACTAGTCAACAAAAATCATAACTATTTCGCTAGAACTCCATTTTTTCTATCAAATGAGTACAAGAAACCACCCATTTACCGATTTCAACTATCCAATAAAGTGGTCAGAAATTGGCAATTTTGCCAATTTCACACAAATTTCAATAGATGCCAATTTCCAAATAGGGTCCAGAATAAACAAGACAGACATTCCTGGCACTAAAATAACATTTTTTCTGTTCATTAGTCATGTCCCCATGCCTCTCTTACATTTCTTTTGCTTTCCACTTTGAATTTTTATTCTCACAAAAAAATAGAAGATTTACTGTTATGCAGACTACTGCATAGGTGTAGAAATGGTATAATATCAGTGCACTTGTGAAAGAACATTAGACTCACCAGTTGACGTGTATTGGACGCGTGGCATGATTTGTTTACTTTAGATCTTTAGCAAAAATCGAACATTTCTGCTACTTTGAGCTCAATTTCAAGGTACTTTTCATCGTGAAACCAATCAAAATCATCTCCATTTCTGTAATATGTCTTCTATTCTATAAAATGAGATCAGGAAAACTAGAATACAACCATAAATAGCATACAAAAATACACTGCGAAGTCGCTGTTTTAAAGCAAAAACAAGGTCGTTTTTTTTTTTCTCATTATGCACTGTGTGCTGCAGGATTTTTTTTTATACTGTGCACACTGACCACATAGACCCATTCTTTCACATGTTGGCCTACCAGCTTTCTCTCGCTAGATTTGAAGGCACTAGAATTTATGCATTCTAGTATGGCACCAACCCTGGCATGCAAGCCATACTAGTACAGCGCCAACCCTGAAAGGGTTAATGGCTTCAGGCAGCAAGTTCCAGATTTTAGTGCCTTTTATGCACATTAAGTTTTTATACAGGTTGATTTGAATGCAGCAGGGGATATCAAAGAGGTTTTTGTGTTTTATGTTATGCCTGTGAGTTCTGGTGCAGCTATCAAGGAAGAGTTTTGGAGGAGGGTTTATATTGGAGTCACCCTGCTATCTTTCCTTTCTATGGAAATCATTTGGTATGAATGCAGTCAATATTATTCCAAGAAGCTCAGTTTTTGTAAGTGCAGTTACATACATGTTTTCAGATATCTTGTTCTAAATTAACTGGTTTTGTTTGTAATACCTTCAGCATTTTTATACATACATGTATATGACAAAGAGCCTGAGTTTTTTTTTTTTTTTTTTTTGCTTTTTGACTTTGTTGTGTTTTTCCTATTGTCCGTTGCTATATTTTTTTTTATTTAGGTAATGGTGAACTAAGTATGGTAGGCGTAAGTGTTTTTTATGAAACTGATGAATCCAGTGGTACTGACAGGGATATCTTAGATAGTGGGGCAGGAAAAAGTGAGCAAGGAATTAGGGTTACTAATGTAGAGTGATGTGTGGATGGCTGCAGGTTAGAGTATTACTGTTGATGTTTATTTACTGATGACCTGCACAAAGGCTCATTATGAGCATCTAAAAAGAGTTAATACTTTGAAAGTTGTCCTTGTTGAATTTTGTCTCCATAGTAGAGCATGTGGCTGGTGTGATGGGATGTTTGTCTCACCTCACTGGTTATACCCTATTAAAAAACTGTTTGTCCTTCGATCATTTAACCCATGGAATGACAGAGATGGCAGTTCTGGCTGATTCCTGGTGCACTGTGGTGAGAATAGCAGATTTCCAAGTGCAAGTGTAACCTGGCAGCCTATAAAGTAATGTATTACTAGTTATGTATCAGCAATGACTACTTGTGAGAGCAAATTTTACACATTAACAATTTCCGTTGTCAAGCATTCTTTATTACTCTAGAATTTACTATATATAATGCCTTTGATATCACACAGACTAATACAGTGTAAGAGGTCTTAAATGCTACCTAGCATTAAATTCAAGTTATACTGAATGCACAGTAAATTCTCAGACTCACCAGGAGCAGCATCTGTGAAGTCAGGATCAGTGAGGTTGTAGGTGAGGCTGAATCTAGAAACAAACCAGGAATCAGAGAGATCATCTAAGCCGAAGCGGAGTGATAGCACATAGGATGACCATGATACATCCATCTGAGACACCTGGCCTACCCGGTCGCACATACCAGACACCTTTGCATCATCCACTGGAGACACCCGAATATTCTGCCAAGAGTAAGGTGATGAGGGTATCAAACAAGTTAGATACGGAAAAAACTGGATATTAGATTGGAGGGAAGGAGTATGGAGGCAGTAAATGTGTTTAGATATATGGGAGTGGACATGTCAGCAGATGGGTATATGAAAAGCGAGGTAAACCATAGAATTGATGAAGGGAAAATGGTGGGTGGTGCATTGAATTATCTGTGGAGACAAAGAACATTATCAATGGAGGCAAAGAAGGGAAAGTCATGAGAGTATAGTGGTACCAAATGCTTTTATTTGGGTGTGAAGCATGGGTTGTGAATGTTGCAGCAAGGAAAAAGTTGGAGGCAGTGGACATGTCATGTCTCAGGGCAATGTGTGGCATAACTATTATGCAAAGAATTCATAGTCTGGAGATTAGGAGGTGTGGAGTTACTAAAAGTATTATCTAGAGGGCTGAGAAGGGGTTGTTGAGGATGGAGAAAAATAGAATGACTTGGAAGGTACATGTATATAAATCTGCAGTAGATGAAAGGCAGGATAGGGGTCATCCTAGGAAAGGATGGAGGGAGGGAGATAAAAGAAGTTTGTGTGCAAGGGGCTTGGACATACAAAGGCATGTGTGAGTGTGTTAAACAGGAGCAAGTGAGACAAATGGTTTTCTGGATTTGAAAAGTTGTCAGAGTGTGAGCAGGGTAATATTTTGTGAAAGGATTCAGGGAAACCAGTTAGCCAGACTTGAGTCCTGAAGGTGGGAAATACAGTGCTTGCACTCTAAAGGAGGGGTTTGGGATATTTGCTGTTTAGAAGAACATCTTAACTGTAATATCTAGGCATCTCTGGCAAGAGAGCGATAGTGTGATTGATGGCGAAAGTGTTTCTTTTCTTTAGGTCACCCTGCCTTGGTGGGAAACAGTCAGCATGTTAAAAAAAATATGTAAAATATATACACATACATATGAGTGCATATTTTGTATATTAAGTAAGTTCAAACTCTTGAAGGGTGTGTTGTCTGGCGCAGGAGTTGGTAATCATCCGCAGAGCAGTTTTTTGTTGGGTTATTAATGGTTTAAGGTGATTAGTCATAGTAGATCCCCAAGCACAAATTCTATAGAGAGTGGTATAGTGTAAGTAGTGCTGTTTGGAGTATATATGGATAAAAACCTACTTCATGCTGTTTGGAAATAGAGCTTTATATATCCAACTTAACATACTGATAAATGGTTTCCCCATTACAAGACACACTGAGGAAAAATTTTAATGGCTACATCTTGACTATCATATAGCCTGGAGTTTACCTGGAGAGAGTTCCGGGGGTCAACGCCCCCGTGGCCCGGTCTGTGACCAGGCCTCCTGGTGGATCAGAGCCTGATCAACCAGGCTGTTACTGCTGGCTGCACGCAAACCAATGTACGAGCCACAGCCCGGCTGGTCAGGAACCAACTTTAGGTGCTTGTCCAGTGCCAGCTTGAAGACTGCCAGGGGTCTGTTGGTAATCCCCCTTATGTATGCTGGGAGGCAGTTGAACAGTCTCGGGCCCCTGACACTTATTGTATGGTCTCTTAACGTGCTAGTGACACCCCTGCTTTTCATTGGGGGGATGTTGCATCGTCTGCCAAGTCTTTCGCTTTTGTAGTGAGTGATTTTCGCGTGCAAGTTCGGTACTAGTCCCTCTAGGATTTTCCAGGTGTATATAATCATGTATCTCTCCCGCCTGCGTTCCAGGGAATACAGGTTTAGGAACCTCAAGCGCTCCCAGTAATTGAGGTGTTTTATCTCCGTTATGCGCGCCGTGAAGGTTCTCTGTACATTTTCTAGGTCAGCAATTTCACCTGCCTTGAAAGGTGCTGTTAGTGTGCAGCAATATTCCAGCCTAGATAGAACAAGTGACCTGAAGAGTGTCATCATGGGCTTGGCCTCCCTAGTTTTGAAGGTTCTCATTATCCATCCTGTCATTTTTCTAGCAGATGCGATTGATACAATGTTATGGTCCTTGAAGGTGAGATCCTCTGACATGATCACTCCCAGGTCTTTGACGTTGGTGTTTCGCTCTATTTTGTGGCCAGAATTTGTTTTGTACTCTGAAGATTTAATTTCCTCGTGTTTACCACATCTGAGTAATTGAAATTTCTCATCGTTGAACTTCATATTGTTTTCTGCAGCCCACTGAAAGATTTGGTTGATGTCCGCATGGAGCCTTGCAGTGTCTGCAATGGAAGACACTGTCATGCAGATTCGGGTGTCATCTGCAAAGGAAGACACGGTGCTGTGGCTGACATCCTTGTCTATGTCAGATATGAGGATGAGGAACAAGATGGGAGCGAGTACTGTGCCTTGTGGAACAGAGCTTTTCACCATAGCTGCCTTGGACTTTACTCTGTAAACATCCTTTCGAAGATACGATACTATATACCCCAAACGGCACTACTTACACTATACCACTCTCTACACAAATAACCCGCACATAAAAGAGAGAAGCTTACGACGACGTTTCGGTCCGACTTGGACCATTGACAAAGTCACACAGTGTGACTTTGTCAATGGTCCAAGTCGGACCGAAACGTCGTCGTAAGCTTCTCTCTTTTATGTGCGGGTTATTTGTGTATCGTTCCAGTCACGGTATTGTGCCTTTTTGTTATTTACCACTCTCTAATCTACCCTTACCTCACCTATGGTATTTGTGGTTGGGGATCTACCACGACTAATCACCTTAAACAACAAAAAAAGGCACAATACCGTGACTGGAACGATACACAAATAACCCGCACATGGAAGAGAGGAGCTTACGACAAACCACTCCTCTCTTCTATGTGCGGGTTATTTGTGTATAATCACCTTTAACCATTAATAACCCAACAAAATGCTGTTGTGCGGATGATCACTAACTCCTGCACCAGAGAACATAACCCACCACTCTTCAAGAGTTTCAAGAGTTTGCATTTACTTAATGTGCAAAACATGCACTCATAATACTGTGCCTACTATATATACTGTATAGAACATTAAACTAAAATACAACCCCTTCTCTCAAGCTTCTCCTTGACAGCTACAACAGAATACACAGGCACAACACAAAGCACAAAACTCTCTTTGACATCCCTCGTGACTATCTCACCATATGCAAAAATGCAATACACATAAAGGGTTCCAAGATCTGGAATTCAATACCTAAATCAGCAAAGGGTCCCCTGCCTGCCAATCAATTAAGAGCTACACAACCTCTCCTCACTTAGTGACGGAGTTCCATTCTTAAGACCACGTTGGTAAACGAATTTGTCGCTAAGTGAGGAGCATATTATAATGGTAGTGGGTTTGTGTCAACCATCTTTGGTATTGTTTTAATGCCACCTTTGCACCATTTATAACATTTCTGGTATATTTTTAAATGTTTATACATGTACAGTAGTGCTCTGTATACACATTGTAATAAACAGAATAGAGGAAATCAGCTCTAATATGCATCATTTAGGTATGCATACTGGTCAAAAAGCCCATCATAAGTCCGAGTCATCGGTAAAAGGGTACATCGCTAAGTGAGGCAAGGCTGTACTTAAAAATCATCTCTTCTCCCAAAATTAACTATACCAACAATATAATAAATCATTCAACCAGTTTGAAATGACTCAGAACATCCAAAAAAACTTAGGACCACTTGATCAATCTAAAACATTAATACATGCTTAAAATTGTACTGTTGTAACATTGTAAAATGTACTAATTGTAATATTATTATTTGTTTCTTGCTACCTCACTATTATAAATCTTATTAGTTACAAAACTTTTGGCTACCTCTCTATATTAGTAAGGTAAAATAATTAATAGTAAAAATTTAACACTTCATAACCACTTTATAGCTTTAAGTTTGTAAACATTAAGATTAATCTGCCCAAAATGCTCAGGCATGCTAGTGGCTTTCTTTTATAAAATTTAAATTATACATTGTAACCTTTGCAAAGAAATCAAAATTTTGTATTTTTTGTATAGTACTGTATTTTGGAAAGGATGCCCACTGTTTAGGAAACCTTCTTGGTTATATGTTGGATGTGGGTCTGAAACGTAAGATTGCAGTCAAGGTGACAACTTAAAAGTTTTCCCTCAGTGTCTCTTATAATGGGGGAACCATTGATCAATATGTTAAGTTGGATATTTAGGCTCTGTTTCCAAACAGCATGTAGTAGGTTTTGTCTATATTGAGAGTGAGTTTGTTAGTCATCATCCACATGAATAATTTTAGTAGCTCATCATTAACAGTGTTACTAAGCATTCAGTAGGACTCCTATATCCGTGGGGGATATGTTCCAAGGTCCTGCCATGAATGCCAAAACCATGGATAGTAGTGAACCCTATATACAGTGGACCCCCGCATAACGATTACCCCCGAATGCGACCAATTATGTAAGTGTATTTATGTAAGTGCGTTTGTACGTGTATGTTTGGGAGTCTGAAATGGACTAATCTACTTCACAATATTTCTTATGGGAACAAATTCGGTCAGTACTGGCACCTGAACATACTTCTGGAGTGAAAAAATATCGTTAACCGGGGGTCCACTGTATTAGGCATTTTTTAGTTATATACACACCTATGATAAAGTTTAATTGATAAATTATGTACAATAAGTCAAGAATTAGTACTTTTTCACCAATAGGAAGCACTTCACAGCTTCTCTTTGGCTTTGAAGAACTGCCAGCATCACTACTTTTACACTTCGAGGTCATTAGTAAGCAAAATTAAGGGTTATTTTCTGGCCATGGTAAAGTGTGGATAACTGAGACTACGGAAACTCGAAATCATGGATACAGGGGTCCTAATGTAGTTGGGTTTGAGTGGGAGAAGACATAAGTAGAGTCATCTGTGAATAGAACAGGTTTAAGAAGATGCACTGGGAGATCACTGATGTAAATGAGAAAGAGCAGAGGGCCAAGGACACTGCCCTGTGGCACTCCAACAGCTACAGGTTGAGTAACTGAGGTTACACCATGTGTGAAGACGTACTGGTGTCTATTGCATACCTCTGCAAAGACAGTGATTATGTGTGAATGATGGTGAAAGTACTCCTTTCTTCTTTTGGGTCACCCTGCCTCGGTGGGAGATGGTCAGTGTGTTGAAAAAATAATAATAATCCTTATTTCTACAAGTACATGTATGTACAAGGTATGCAGGCCAGAAATGCCAAGCATTTCTGACAAATTAGATCAGTTTTATCCCCAGGATATGATCCACACCAGTCAACTAACACCTAGGTACCTATTTTAACTATTTTACCCATACCAGGAATCAACCCCCCCCAGACCTCAGTGTATGAACCGAGTGTGCTAGCAATCAAGCTACGGGACACCTGAGGGTATGTCATGGCCCCATAATGTTATAGTTTAAGGAGCAAGATACTGTGGTCCACTATATCGAATACTTTCTGCAGGTATATGAAGAGCCCCAGGGGATATTCATTTTTTCAAGCACTACATACAGCAGCTTGAGCATTTGTTTAGCTGCATCATTCATACTTTTTTTGGGCCTAAACCCAAACTGGCAGGGGTTAAGTACGTATATTGTGAGATATTAGGTAGGAGTAAACTCACTTATGTATTATTTTTTCAAAGATTTTAAATAGTAAGGGCAAGTTTGATACAGGACTATAGTTATTCACTTCAGTTGGACCACCTCCTTTGAGGGTCAGGGTAACCCTTGCTGTCTTGAGTATGGATGGGAAAGTTCAAGATTCCGCTGATTTTTTTTAAAAAGAGTTGCAATAATGGGTGACAGAACAGGAACAGCCTTTTAGTACTTGAGTGGTGGCAAGTTATTTAGGTTTCCTGTCTTATTTTTTAGTGACTTTATGATAAGTGAGACTGTTGCTTTCCTTGGATCCAACTTGATTACCTCCCTTTCCCCCAGGGACTATGTGACCTACCTGCATTGTTTACCTTGTCACCCACCCCCAGTATCTAGGCAGTATGTAGATGCTTTGGACCCACATAGTCTACCATGTAGATGAGTAAATTTTTTTTTTTTCGACAAGCTGGCTGTCTCCCACCGAGGCAGGGTGACCCAAAAAGTAAGAAAATCCCCAAAAAGAAAGAAAATCCCCAAAAAGAAAATACTTTCATCATCATTCAACACTTTCACCTCACTCACACATAATCACTGTTTTTTCAGAGGTGCCCAGAATACAACAGTTTAGAAGTATATATGTATAAAGATACACAACATATCCCTCCAAACTGCCAATATCCCAAACCCCTCCTTTAAAGTGCATGCATTGTACTTCCCATTTCCAGTACTCAAGTCTGGTTATATAAAAATAACTGGTTTTCCTGAATCCCTTCACTAAATATTACCCTATTCACATTCCAACAGCTCGTCAGGTCCCAAAAACTATTTGTCTCCATTCACTCCTATCTAACACGCTCACACATGCTTGCTGGAAGTCCAAGCCCCTTGTGCACAAAACCTCCTTTACCCCTCCCTCCAACCTTTTTGAAGATGACCTCATCACCCTACTCTTATCTATGTTCACTTTCAACTTTCTACCTTTACACACACTCCCAAACTCGTCCACAAACCTTTGCAACTTTTCTTTAGAATCTCCCATAAGCACAGTATCATCAGCAAAAAGTAACTGTTTCAATTCCCATTTTGTATTTGATTCCCCATAATTTAATCCCACCCCTCTCCCCAACATCCTAGCTTTTACTTCTTTTACAACCCCATGTATAAATATATTAAACAACCATGGTGACATTACACATCCCTGTCTAAGACCTACTTTTACCGGGAAGTAATCTCCCTCTCTTTTACACACTAACCTGAGCCTCATTATCCTCATAAAAACTCTTTACAGCATTTAGTAACTTACTACCTATTCCATATACATGCAACTTCTGCCACATTGCTCCCCTATCCACTCTATCATATGCATTTTCTAAATCCATAAATGCAATGAAAACTTCCCTACCTTTATCTAAATACTGTTCACATATATGCTTCAATGTAAACACTTGATCTACACATCCCCTACCCACTCTAAAGCCTCCTTGCTCTTCCACAATCCTACTCCCTCTTGCCTTTATATAAAGGAACTATACATGCTCTCTGCCAATCCCTAGGTGCCTTCCCCACTTTCATACATTTATTAAACAAAAATACCAACCACTCCAACACTATATCCCATCCCCCCTGCTTTTTACATTACTGTCATGATCCTGTCAGTTCCAGCTGCTTTACCCCTTTTCATTCTATGTAATGCCTATTGCACCTCCCCCACACTCACATCCTGCTCTTGTTCACTCCTAAAAGATGTTATACCTCCTTGGCCAGTGCATGAAATTACCAACTCCCTTTCTTCATCAACATTTAAAAGTTCCTCAAAATATTCCCGCCAACTACCCAATACCTCCAGCTCCCCATCAACTAATTCCCTTACTCTGTTTTTAACTCACAAATCCATTCATTCCCTAGGCTTTCTTAACTTGTTTATCTCCAAAATTTGCTCTTATTTTCTGCAAAATTTCTTGACAGTGCCTCTCCCACTTTATCATCTGCTCTCCCTTTGCACTCTCTTCACCTTTCTTTTACTCTCCACATACTGTTCTTCTTATAACACTTCTGCATTGTAAGAACCTCTCATGAGCTAAATTTTTCTCTTTTGTCACACCCTTTACTTCATCATTCCACCAATCACTCCTCTTTCCTCCTGCACCCACCCTTCTATAGCCACAAACTTCTGCCCCACATTCTAATACTGCATTTTTAAAACTATTCCAACCCTCTTCAACCGCCCTACTACTCATACTTGCACTAGCCCACCTTTCTGCCAATAGTTGCTTATATCTCACCCTGTCTTCCTCCTCTCTTAGTTTATACACTTTCACCTCTCTCTTACTTGTTGTTGCCATTTTCTTTTTGTCCCATCTACCTCTTACTCTAACTGTAGTTACAACTAAATAATGATCCGATATATCAGTTGCCCCTCTATAAACATGTACATCCTGAATCCTACCCATCAACCTTTTATCCACCAATACATAATCTAACAAACTACTTTCATTATGTGCTATATCATACCTTGTATACTTATTTATCCTCTTTTTCATAAAATATGTATTACTTATTACCAAACCTGTTTCTACACATAGCTCAATTAAAGGCTCCCTATTTTCATTTACCCCTGGCACCACAAATTTGCCTACTACTCCCTCCACAATATTTTTACCCACTTCAGCAATGAAATCCCCAACCACAAGTACTCTCACACTTGGCTCAAAACTCCCCATGCACTCACTCAACATTTCTCAAAATCTCTCTCTCTCTCCTCTACACTTCTCTCTTCTCCAGGTGCATATATGCTTACTATAACCCACTTTTCACATCCAACCTTTATTTTACTTCACATAATCCTTGAATTAATACATTTATATTCCCTCTTTTCCTGCCATAACTTATCCTTCAACATTATTGCTACTCCTTCTTTAGCTCTAACTCTATTTGAAACCCCTGACCTAATCCCATTTATTTCTCCCCACTGAAACTCTTCCACTCCACTTCAGCTTTGTTTCACTTAAAGCCAGGACATTCAGCTTCTTCTCATTCATAACATCCACAATCATCTCTTTCATATCATTCGCACAACATCCATGCACATTCAAACATCCCACTTTGATGGTTTTCTTCTTTTTCTTCTTAGTAGGCTATACAGGAAAAGGGGTTACTAGCCCATTGTTCCCAGCATTTTAACCCTTAAACTGTCCAAACGTAGATCTACGTTTGCTCGTGTAGCGCTCCGAACGTAGATCTACGTTTTTTTACGTTGTTTCTTATGGAGAAAAATCAAGGTTGGAGCGCTACGCGCACAAACATAGATCTACGTTTGGACAGTTTAAGGTTAACTGACTTTTACAACACGCATGGCTTACAGAGGAAAGATTCTTATTCCACTTATCCATGGATATAAAAGCTGTGGCTGGTATATTGGTTTGCGTGCAGCCAACAGTAACAGCCTGGTTGATCAGGCTCTGATCCACCAGGAGGCCTGGTCACAGACCGGGCCGAGGGGGGGTTGACCCCCGGAACTCTCTCCAGGTCAACTCCAGATGAGTGTGTATACATAAACATGCACATGTATGTGTAGTGTGACCTAAGTGTAAGTAGAAGTAGCAGGACATACCTGAAATCTTGCATGTTTATGAGACAAAAAAGACACCAGCAATCCTACCATCATGTAAAATAATTACAGGCTTTCGTTTTACACTCACTTGGCAGGACAGTAGTACCTCCCTGGGTGCTTGCTGTCTATCAACCTACTACTATAATACTATTACTATACTAATAATACTACTATAATGATAGCAGATCAATTATTTATTAAATGTTTCGCTCAAAGATGAGCTTGAAAAAGTTGATTTTTGAGTGAAGTTTTGTCTAATGAAGGTATTTTGCCTTCCTACCATCCTTACCTTATAGTCACCCTTGGTATCTGGGTAATATATAGTAGCCTTCGACTTAAAGTAGGCCATTATGCAGCCAACACCGTCTTCATCATTGACAATGTAGGTCCCATCAGAACGTGTGTAGCCCACAGCTTAAAATATAAAACATGTGATGCTGGTTGTTATTGCATTCATGGGGGAAGAGCTACAGTAAATCTCTAGCAATTATGCAGTGCATGGGTGACTGGAAGCCCATTAGGTTTAATCCAGAGAGAGATTGGGTTCAATTCCTTGGATCAAGAACCTCTCATGGGCATCAAGAAACCTCTCTTGAAGGTTGTGATAATGGTTCACTGTAGCTTCTGCTCCCAAGTAAGAGTAAATAAAATCTATATTGTTTATTTTCTTCCCCAACCTTCCCTGGATCAAACCTCATTACCTTCCATTTCTCAGGTGCATATAATAATAATAATAATAATAATAATAATAATAATAATAATAATAATAATAAATTTATTTTGACATGATACATGGTTCTACAAAAGAATAGCTTATGGGTTTACCACTTCATGTAAATAAAATATTAATATGCTTTTCTAGAAGTCAACTTTGGAGAGGTGATGTATATTTATTTGACCCACCATCTCTGTCAAAAGAAATTACAAATGTCACACTAGTGTGAACTTGCAATATAGAGAGTGCATATATGGGCACTGGATGGCTGAGCCTATAGATGAGGTTAGCATGTTACCACTGGGTCACAACTTTTAAAAAAAAAATCCCTACCTGAACTTTCGCAGTTTTAAGATTGATATATCTTGCTTTTACCTCTTTTTTTTTTACATGACTCAACTCGGGTGCTAGGTAAAAATTTCCCATTAAAATAATTTGTGCTATCTAGTTTATAATATTGTTCATTGCTGACAGCTCCATTCAAGAGAGGGAAAATATCAGTTGGGAAAGGTACAGATATTGTTTACTGCCTGTAAACTTAAACTACTGGGAATACCTCAAAGTACGTAGTATTTGGAATGTGCCTTTGGGGTGAAGAATATCTAATACATGGAAGACCCTTGAGGACCTAGTCCCAAATCTACACACATGCAAGAGTGAAAAACATGGGAGCTGGGACGAAGTGCATTATTATTATTATTATAATCATGGGGGAGCGCTAAAGCCGAAGGATTATACAGCGCACGTGGGGGGGGGAATGGAAGGTATTCAGGCTCAATTCAGGGAACTGGAGCATAGATCCACTTCCCTAGAACAAGAGCCCCTCACCAGCGTCAAGGAACCTCCCTTGAGGGGCGGGAGGAAGTGCAAAATAGACCCAGTGAAAAGCATGGGCACTATGGGCAGTAGTCTCTAACCTGCTACCAGCAAATATAGGACATACCTATTTCCTAAACAAGTGTAGAAGTTTTCAAGAGAAAACTGGTTCATTACCTCTGTGCCAAGTGCAAAATCAACCAAGCTGTGATGGTTATTTATGCTAGTGCAATGCCAACAGCAACAGCCTGGTTGAACAATCAACAGCAAAGCCTGTCCATTGATTGGGCTGCAAGGGTAGAAAAACTCAAAACCTGCCACAGGTATATCACAGGTGTTACAGTACCAGCATTCACTCTTTCAAGGGAAGGAGGGAGGAATTGACTTGATGCTAGTGAAGGGCTCTTGATCCAAGGAATTAAAGCTACCATCCCCTTCCTTGGATTAATACTGACTACTTCCCACTTTCCATGTATTGCATGACCCATAAAAGTTTTGTTTCTCCAAGAATGCGACAATATCCAACAATATTATATTAAAAATCACCCAAAATTTTAGCCCAGATAAATTTTGTCACCAGCCATCACTGAAACTGGCCACTAACCCATATTCAAAAGAATTATTAAATTAAATTTATAAAATAAATACACCAAAGTCATAATATAAGAGGATATGTTAGCCAGATATTGTTAGGCTATGATTCTTTTACTCCCTGATGCTGTGAGAGTTCTTGATCCAAGGAATTGGATCTGTTCTCCCCTTGGATTGAAGCTGATTACTTCCCATTCCACAGGAAAAGTATGACCCCAGTGGGTTGAGACTTCCCTAAATATAATAAATCCAGTTACTAAATGAAAACCAATTTGTTTAATAAAATTTAAATTTTTTTTTGCATTGACTAGATAAACTGTCTAGAGAGAATGCAACCCAGTCATGACTAATGTAACTTTTGTAGTAATAAGGTATCACTTTTTTCAGATAGTATGTACTCCTTACTGTACTGTGTACAACTATATGAAGAAATTGACAAAAAATTAGTGGTAATAAGATATAATTTTTTTGATATTGTATTCCTTACTGTACTGTGTACAAGAACTACATGAAGAAATTGTAAAGAAAAAATTAGTGGTAATAAGATATCAAGTTTATGAGACTGTATTCCTTATCTCATTATAGTGTACAACTATATAAAGTAATTATAAAATACAAAATGGCTAATATTTCTTTCTAGTGATGTAACATTATTATAATTATTATAATCATGGGGGAGTCCTAAACCAGTAGGATTATACAGCACATGTGGGGGGGGAGGAGGATGGAAGGTATTCAGGCTCAATTCAGGAACCAGAATGCAGATCCAAATCCCTAGATAAAGAGCCCCTCACCAGCATCAAGGAACCTCCCTTGAGGGGTAGTGATGTAACAATGCTCAGTGGGGTTTGACAGACACAGTGTGACCTCTGTAATCTTTTTCTTTTTGCACTACCACTCAGGATGAGTATGGGGTGCACAATAAACATAGCTCCTCAGGTGGCACAACTTAAAACTCTTCATTTAGAGAGCCTAAACTTGTCAGAGACTATCTTGTCTGTAATATACATCAGCCTTTAAAGAGTGAAGCTGTCAGAAGAGGCATACTCAAGTTACACCACACCATTTTAAAAATAAAATTGGCACCTATATACACCTACCATCCGACTTACAACCTGCTCGACATACGACCACTCGACTTACGACCGTGTTTTGTATGCCAAATTTCTGGGAAATAAACAACTGTTTGTGTTGTACACAGTGTTTATCATAAACCTTACAGTATAAAATACAGTACTAAACAGCATAAAAAGTAATGTTAAAAATGAAATACATGTACCAGAATAAAAACAAAATAAAGTCATTACAAAAATGTGATGTTGATATTCAGTAGTAAGGTTCGACTTACGTCCATTTTGACTTCCGATCGGTTGGTCGGAACCAAGCTCGGTCGTAAGTCAGATGGTACCTGTACCAATAATAATCCTGTTTGTCCAAGTAGGATACATCTGTGTAGAAAGTTGAAGCCCATCACAAGTCTCTCTAAAGTAATTGCTCACAAAAAAAACTCAAAAGAATGGTGTATACGTATATGTGAAATCGACCAGAGGGTACCTGTACATGGCAATAGTTACATGAACCTTTTTTTAGTTACAGTATACCGACACTGAAAATCTGAAATCGACTGGATGAACCATTCTCACTGTAAATGAAAAAAAAGGAAGAAAAAATTAGGCACCTATATTAAAGGTATCCCTCTGGGATATCTAAAGAAGACTCATTATATATAACTATTTACTGTGAGAAATAAAAAATGGTGGCTCACCTGTCTGGGCCATAGGCACTGGTAATTCTTCATATTCATCTTCCCTGCTGTTACTATCTTGGTCTTTCTTATTTCTTTCAACACTCGACTTTTCTTCCTTGTCGCCGCTATCATCCTTGAGGTCACTCTTTTTCACAAGTTGATATTGTTGTAATGACTCTTTGGTAGTCTTTCCAGTCTGCCCAGGATTGATTCTCTCTGCATTCTCTAAATCGTCCGTTTCCAATGCTAGCGGAATCTCCTCTTCAGTACTCAGTGACAGCTGGAGAGTTTCATATTCAATAGGTGAGTGAGCATAGGTTGTCTGATTAAAGTCTGGCTTGGTGGATATATTTGTTACTGTGAATGTTGTGTTCATGTGTAGGCTCGTGGCAGAGGTGGGTCCCGTGTATATAGCAGCCGCACCTGCAATAAGTAAGTTTATTCAGGTATACACAAATACAGTTACATAGAATTATCATACATAGCAGCATATGTGTAGAGAACCTGGGGTAACCCAAAAAAGTCTAGCAGCATATGTGTAGAGAACCTGGGGTAACCCAAAAAAGTCAGAGTGACTTATTTCCATTGGGGTCCTTTAAAATTAGGTGTAAAAATATTATTATTTTTCAATGGGAAGTGCAAAATAGTACCTTGGGAATGGGAAATTATCATGTTTGATGCAAAGACAGGAACAGTAGCTCCAGTTACTTGGATCAAGAGTCCTTTACCAGCATCAAAGCAGCCCCCTACCTTGAAAGGTTGTGTAAAGCCTATCGACAGCATGTTAATTAAGGCTGCAATTGGCTAGTACACAGACATTTCAGAGGGGGGACAGAGGTGCCCTGAAGCTGATTCAGGCTCTTGTATTAAGTCTGAGTACCTCCCATTCCCCAGCATTGTATGACCCCCTATGTACTCAACACATCCCCGTGAATATGGCAATCAGTTCCTATAAATAAGACAATAGCTCCATGAATATGAGTCACTTCCTATGAATATGACAATAACTTCCCTACAAATATGACAATAGCTTCTTATGAATATGACAATCACTTACTCATGAATATGACAATCACTTCCCTATGAATGTTAATAGCTTACCATGAATATGACAATCACCTAAAAGTCTCTATCCAATTTGTCATTACTATCTAAAATCTCCGAAAAAAATAATACATAAGTGAGTTGACTCCTACTTAATATGAATATGTAATCAGATACAGGTATCTAGGCTTTGAGGTTCCACTACTTGGACCTGTTGTAACAAGACTTTGTCGCCAATACAATATTTTAAGAAAAAGAGGATAAATAAGTATACACGATATGATGTAGGGCGAAATGACAGTAGTTTGTTGGATTATGTATTGGTAGATAAAAGACTGTTGAGTAGACTTCAGGATGTACATGTTTATAGAGGGGCCACAGATATATCAGATCACTTTCTAGTTGTAGCTACACTGAGAGTAAAAGGTAGATGGGATACAAGGAGAATAGAAGCATCAGGGAAGAGAGAGGTGAAGGTTTATAAACTAAAAGAGGAGGCAGTTAGGGTAAGATATAAACAGCTATTGGAGGATAGATGGGCTAATGAGAGCATAGGCAATGGGGTCGAAGAGGTATGGGGTAGGTTTAAAAATGTATGTTAGAGTGTTCAGCAGAATTTGTGGTTACAGGAAAGTGGTGCAGGGGGGAAGAGGAGCGATTGGTGGAATGATGAGTAATGAGAGTAGAAAGGGAGAAAAAGTTAGCATATGAGAAGTTTTTTACAAAGTAGAAGTGATGCAAGGAGGGAAGAGTATATGGAGAAAAAGAGAGAAGTTAAGAGAGTGGTGAAGCAATGAAAAAAAGAGAGCAAATAGAGAGTGGGTGAGATGTTATCAACAAATTTTGTTGAAAATAAGAAAAATTTTTGGAGTGAGATTAACAAGTTAAGAAAGCCTAGAGAACAAATGGATTTGTCAGTTAAAAATAGGAGAGGAGAGTTATTAAATGGAGAGTTAGAGGTATTGGGAAGATGGAAGGAATATTTTGAGGAATTTTTTAAATGTTGATGAAGATGGGGAAGCTGTGATTTCGTGTATAGGGCAAGGAGGAATAACATCTTGTAGGAGTGAGGAAGAAGGCCAGTTGTGAGTGTGGGGGAAGTTCTGAGGCAGTAGGTAAAATGAAAGGGGGTAAGGCAGCCGGGATTGATGGAATAAAGATAGAAATGTTAAAACAGGTGGGGATATAGTTTTGGAGTGGTTGGTGCAATTATTTAAATAAATGTATGGAAGAAGGTAAGGTACCTAGGGATTGGCAGAGAGCATGCATAGTTCCTTTGTATAAAGGCAAAGGGATAAAAAGAGTGCAAAAATTATAGGGGGATAAGTTGTTGAGTGTACCTGGGAAAGTGTATGGTAGAGTTATAATTGAAAGAATTAAGAGTAAGACGGAGAAAAAGGATAGCAGATGAACAAGGAGGCTTTAGGAAAGGTAGGGGTGTGTGGGACCAGGTGTTTACAGTGAAACATATAAGTGAACAGTATTTAGATAAGGCTAAAGAGGTCTTTTTGGCATTTTTGGATTGGAAAAGGCGTATGACAGGGTGGATAGGGGGGCAATGTGGCAGATGTTGCAAGTGTATGGTGTAGGAGGTAGGTTCTGAAAGCATGAAGAGTTTTTACGAGGATAGTGAGGCTCAAATTAGAGTATGTAGGAAAGAGGGAAATTTTTTCCCAGTAAAAGTAGGCCTTAGACAAGGATGTGTGATGTCACCGTGGTTGTTTAATATATTATAGATGGGGTTGTAAGAGAAGTAAATGCGAGGGTCTTGGCAAGAGGCTGGAGTTAAAAGATAAAGAATCACCACAAAGTGGGAGTTGTCACAGCTGCTCTTTGCTGATGACACTGTGCTCTTGGGAGATTCTGAAGAGAAGTTGCAGAGATTGGTGGATGAATTTGGTAGGGTGTGCAAAAGAAGAAAATTAAAGGTTTAATACAGGAAAGAGTAAGGTTATGAGGATAACAAAAAAATTAGGTGAAAGAAAGATTGAATATCAGATTGGAGGGAGAGAGTATGGAGGAGGTGAACGTATTCAGATATTTGGGAGTGGACGTGTTCAGCAGATGGGTCATGAAAGATGAGGTGAATCATAGAATTGATGAGGGAAAAAGAGTGAGTGGTGCACTTAGGGGTCTGTGGAGACAAAGAACTTTGTCCTTGGAGGCAAAGAGGGGAATGTATGAGAGTATAGTTTTACCAACGCTCTATATGGGTGTGAAGCGTGGTGATGAATGTTGCAGCGAGGAAAGGCTGGAGGGAGTGGGGATGTCATGTCTGAGGGCAATGTGTGGTGTGAATATAATGCAGAGAATCGTAGTTTGGAAGTTAGGGGGAGGTGCGGGATTACCAAAACTGTTTTTCCAGAGGGCTGAGGAAGGGTTGTTGAGGTGGTTCGGACATGTAGAGAGAATGGAGCGAAACAGAATGACTTCAAGAGTGTACAGTCTGTAGTGGAAGGAAGGCGGGGTAGGGTCGGCCTAGGAAGGGTTGGAGGGAGGGGGTAAAGGAGGTTTTGTGTGCGAGGGGTTTGGACTTCCAGCGGGCATGCGTGAGCGTGTTTGATAGGAGTGAATGGAGACAAATGGTTTTTAATACTTGACGTGCTGTTGGAGTGTGAGCAAAGTAACATTTATGAAGGGATTCAGGGAAACCGGCAGGCCGGACTTGAGTCCTGGAGATGGGAAGTACAGTGCCTGCACTCTGAAGGAGGGGTGTTAATGTTGCAGTTTAAAAACTGTAGTGTAAAGCACCCTTCTGGCAAGACAGTGATGGAGTGAATGATGGTGAAAGTTTTTCTTTTTCGGGCCACCCTGCCTTGGTGGGAATCGGCCGGTGTGATAATAAAATAAAAACAAAGAAAGACTAAGAGCACTTAGAGTTGTGGCAGGGCTTCACCCCAGGTATGGTGCTAATGTTAAAATTGTGAAAATGATGTATCTTGCTTATATTAGATCATTGGTTGATTATGCTGCGCCACTACTTGCTCTTGTGTCTGACTGGAAGCTTGGAGGGCTGGAAAAACTGCAGAACGAAGCAATGAGGATCATTTTAGGATGCCCTCGTACTGCCAAAATTTTAAATATGCAAAAAGAACTTGATATTCCAAGCATCAGAGATCGTGTTACTGAAAGAAATATCCTAATTGGGGTTAATATGCTCAGGCAAGCTCATTTAACCCCTGCACAGAAGCCCTCCAAACTTTCCTCAGCACTGGTGAACACTTCCTCTAGATGGATCGAAAAAACTGAAACCGACCTCCGCATGAATCAGATACATGATCTATGTTAAGTAAGGCAACAGCGGCACTTCTCCGCTCCATGGAATATTACCCTATTCCAAACTACCATTCCTCCATTTCCCCCCAAACTACTTCTTAAATCACAACCAAAACTTCGCCTTGAAGCCAAACATGAGGCCTTAAGCTGTATTGATAACTTAGTCACACAGCACACACTCTCGCAAATTATTTTCGCTGATGGTTCTGTTCACCAATCCACTGGTGCAGCTGGTAGTGCTGCTGTTGTCGTACAGAGTGATGGCTCTCTTAAAGAAATTGGAGCACGCATCAATAATTCAAATTCAAAGTTTATGCTCTATAAGGATTACAATGCTGAGTTTACAGAAATTTGGTTATTGCGTGGTTTACATGTAGTAAAATAATGATTACAGAGTGTACCACTAGAACGCTTAGCATGGCTAGGTATTTCGGGCAGACTTAGTTTTATTCTTAATTGTAAAATATTACAAATTATGAGGTAAGTTGGTATTATGGCTAAGTGACTAAATACTAGTTTGTGAGTTTAGCAATGTGAATGCTTTTGTTTTGGCACAGTACATAGTTTCAGTATTGGAGTATCATAGGATTCATTATTTTAAGATTGAGATTAATATTTCTGTTTATGGTCAAATGGGTGAGTGAGTGTAAGTGTGAACCACCAGGTGGTATTCATGTAGTTAGTTGATGGGGTGTATCAGGGAGATAAGATGTTTTCTAATGGTAGTTTTGAAGGTGATGAATGTGTCTGCAGTTCTCGAGTTCTCAGGTAGGGTATTCCAGATTTTAGGGCCTTTGACATACATTGAATTTTTGTAAAGGTTTAGTCGGACACGGGGAATGTCGTAGAGATGTTTGTGTCTGGTGTTATGCCTGTGGGTTCTGTCACAACTATCAAGAAAGCGTTTTAGGTCAAGGTTGATATTAGAGTTTAAGGCCCTGTAGATGTAGATTGCACAGTAGTAAGTGTGGATGTACTGAACAGGGAGTAAGTTTAGGTCTATGAAGAGTGGGGGGGGGGGGTGTTGCCAGGGATGGGATTTAGTGATTATTCTTACTGCAGCTTTTTGTTGGGTTATTATTGGCTTTAGGTGTGTTGCTGCAGTTGATCCCCAAGCACAAATAGCATAGGTGAGGTATGGATAAATAAGTGAGTGGTATAGTGTGAGAAGGGCATTTTGCGGCACGTAGTATCGTAGGTAAGACACATAGGCAACAGTTAGGCAACTTTATTCCGAAACGTTTCGCCTACGGCCCTACACAGTAGGCTTCTTCAGTCGAATACAGAAAGTAGGCAGGAACAGTAGAGATGTGAAGACGATGTAATCAGTCCATCACCCTTGAAGTCGTAGAATTTGAGGTTGTCAGTCCCTCGGCCTGGAGAAGTTCAGTTCCATAGTCAGGAACTAGATAGTTCCTGACTATGGAACCGAACTTTTCCAGGCCGAGGGACTGACAACCTGACATAGTCAGGAACTAGATAGTTCCTGACTATGGAACTGAACTTCTCCAGGCCGAGGGACTGACAACCTCAAATTCTACGACTTCAAGGGTGATGGACTGATTACATCGTCTTCACATCTCTACTGTTCCTGCCTACTTTCTGTATTCGACTGAAGAAGCCTACTGTGTAGGGCCGTAGGCGAAACGTTTCGGAATAAAGTTGCCTAACTGTTGCCTATGTGTCTTACCTACCAACCTGTCGGTATTGTATACCATTTTGATGTTCACGTAGTATCGTATCTTGGAGAGGATCCCAACCGTTTTGGATACTTTTTTGGTTATGCGTTGGATATGGGTGCTGAAGTTCAGGTTGTTGTCGAGGTATAGGCCTAGGAATTTGCTCTCATTATGCCTGGCAATTAGTGTTGTCGATCTTAATGTTAATTTGCGCATCTCCTGCTCTGCTACCAAACATAATGTAGTAGGTTTTGTCAGTGTTAAGCGTAAGTTTATTGGCTGTCATCCAAGTCGATATTTTGATAGTGATAGAATTGTTGAGATTAACACTGTACTCGGTATTAGAATGTTAAGAAATGAACCAGACACTGTCACAATGAACCTTACTAAGTGTCTAGAAGTAAATATACACAGATCTCAATGGATTGTGAAAACGTGCAATTGCATTAAGTTTTATAACCTGCATGAACTGTATCATTGTAGACAACAAGAGCATTTCACCCCTCCATGGAAGATGTGTTCATTTAATATCAAAATACCTGCAAGTCCCTCCCAAGAAGCTCATTGCTAGTAATCCCTTCCTTAAATCACTTGTTAAAGCAACTGCTCAAGAAGAAATTTCTCACCTAGCTGGTAGTAATAAGTTATCACAAGTTATATACACTGATGGATCTAAACAGGAGTCTTCTGGCAGGGCTGCATCTGCTCTTGTTGCCACCTCCCTAGTTAAGAACGATAATAAACTTGTTGAGTTAGGCATAAGAATTAACAACTGGGCGTCTACACTGCAAACTGAATTGTTTGCAATCCTAATGGCGATAAAGCTAACTAATGACACTGGAGACTATCATCATTACTGATTCTATGTCATCACTGAATGCTCTTAACTCATATAATGACTCCAACAACATGTTCATTGGAGAAGCCAGGTATAGATACTCAAAAATCAGGGACAAAGGAATTAATGTACAATTAATTGCTATGGATCTCATCAAACATTGGATTACTCCTTCATGATAAAGTTGATACGTTAGCCAAGAAGAGTACCCAGAAGGAGAATGTAGAATATAACTTAGGAATAATATTAGAAAAGTAAATAATAAAAATGGTTGTTATAGGAATGCAGTTAGAAGCCTGAGTAGAGCTATAACCCACTATGATAACATGAACATAGATAAGTATGTTTATGAAGCAACTTGCAATGTAAACAGACTGACTGATGTAGTGGCCAGGCTTAGGCTTGGTTACAAGTACTTCTAGCAAATTATGTGATCAGGCATATAGTCACTATCTTGAACACTTTGTGCTTAATTGTCCACTTGTTGAGGAATACAGAGATAGACAGTATAATAGCTTATGTGACATGTCAAGATATGTTATTAATGAAAATAAGATACCAGATATACTAAGCAAATTTTCTAAATTTGCTTGTAACAGATAAGTGAACTATAGATATGTAGATATAAATCCATATGTATTTCTGTTAACCCTTTGGGGCCTAGTTCCTAGGCCTTTTGTGTATCCATATGCTCTTGCGCTACCGTCCACAGGATGGATATGGGGTACACAATAAACTAGCCACTTCCTGGAGAGAGAGATTACCTGGAGAGAGTTTCGGGGGTCAACGCCCCCGCGGCCCGGTCTGTGACCAGGCCTCCTGGTGGATCAGCGCCTGATCAACCAGGCTGTTGCTGCTGGCTGCACGCAAACCAACGTACGAGCCACAGCCCGGCTGATCAGGAACTGACTTTAGGTGCTTGTCCAGTGCCAGCTTGAAGACTGCCAGGGGTCTGTTGGTAATCCCCCTTATGTGTGCTGGGAGGCAGTTGAACAGTCTCGGGCCCCTGACACTTATTGTATGGTCTCTTAACGTGCTAGTGACACCCCTGCTTTTCATTGGGGGGATGGTGCATCGTCTGCCAAGTCTTTTGCTTTCGTAGTGAGTGATTTTCGTGTGCAAGTTCGGTACTAGTCCCTCTAGGATTTTCCAGGTGTATATAATCATGTATCTCTCCCTCCTGCGTTCCAGGGAATACAGGTTTAGAAATCTCAAGCGCTCCCAGTAATTGAGGTGTTTTATCTCCGTTATGCGCGCCGTGAAAGTTCTCTGTACATTTTCTAGGTCGGCAATTTCACCTGCCTTGAAAGGTGCTGTTAGAGTGCAGCAATATTCCAGCCTAGATAGAACAAGTGACCTGAAGAGTGTCATCATGGGCTTGGCCTCCCTAGTTTTGAAGGTTCTCATTATCCATCCTGTCATTTTTCTAGCAGATGCAATTGATACAATGTTATGGTCCTTGAAGGTGAGATCCTCCGACATAATCACTCCCAGGTCTTTGACGTTGGTGTTTCGCTCTATTTTGTGGCCAGAATTTGTTTTGTACTCTGATGAAGATTTAATTTCCTCATGTTTACCATATCTGAGTAATTGAAATTTCTCATCGTTGAACTTCATATTTTTTCTGCAGCCCACTGAAAGATTTGGTTGATGTCTGCCTGGAGCCTTGCAGTGTCTGCAATGGAAGACACTGTCATGCAGATTCGGGTGTCATCTGCAAAGGAAGACACGGTGCTGTGGCTGACATCCTTGTCTATGTCGGATATGAGGATGAGGAACAAGATGGGAGCTAGTACTGTGCCTTGTGGAACAGAGCTTTTCAACCGTAGCTGCCTCGGACTTTACTCTGTTGACGACTACTCTCTGTGTTTCTGTTAGTGAGGAAATTATAGATCCATCGACCGACTTTTCCTGTTATTCCTTTAGCGCGCATTTTGTGCGCTATTACGCCATGGTCACACTTGTCGAAGCTTTTGCAAAGTCTGTATATATTACATCTGCATTCGTTTTTGTCTTCTAGTGCATTTAGGACCTTGTCGTAGTGATCCAGTAGTTGAGACAGACAGGAGCGACCTGTTCTAAACCCATGTTGCCCTGGGTTGTGTAACTGATGGGTTTCTAGATGGGTGGTGATCTTGCTTCTTAGACCCTTTCAAAGATTTTTATGATATGGATGTTAGTGCTATTGGTCTGTAGTTCTTTGCTGTTGCTTTACTGCCCCCTTTGTGGAGGGGGGCTATGTCTGTTGTTTTTAGTAACTGAGGGACGACCCCCGTGTCCATGCTCCCTCTCCATAGGATGGAAAAGGCTCGTGATAGGGGCTTCTTGCAGTTCTTGATGAACACAGAGTTCCATGAGTCTGGCCCTGGGCAGAGTGCATGGGCATGTCATTTATTGCCTGTTCGAAGTCATTTGGCGTCAGGATAACATCGGATAGGCTTGTGTTAATCAATTTTGTGGCTCTCTCATAAAAAATTCATTTTGATCTTCGACTCTCAGTCTGGTTAGGCGGCTTGCTAAAAACTGAGTCATATTGGGACTTGAGTAGCTCACTCATTTCCTTGTTGTCATCTGTGTAGGACCCATCTTGTTTAAGTAGGGGCCCAATACTGGACGTTGTTCTCGATTTTGATTTGGCATAGAAGAAATACTTTGGGTTTCTTTCGATTTCATTTATGGCTTTTAGTTCTCCCGCGATTCCTGACTCCTAAAGGATTCTTTTAGCTTAAGTTCGATGCTTGCTATTTCTCTGACCAGTGTCTCCCTGCGCATTTCAGATATATTGACCTCTTTTAGCCGCTCTGTTATTCTTTTCCGTCGCCTGTAAAGGGAGCGCCTGTCTCTTTCTATTTTACATCTACTCCTCCTTTTTCTTAGAGGAATAAGCCTTGTGCATACATCGAGTGCCACCGAGTTAATCTGTTCTAGGCATAAGTTTGGGTCTGTGTTGCTTAGTATATCTTCCCAGCTTATATCGGTTAGGACTTGGTTTACTTGGTCCCACTTTATGTTTTTGTTATTGAAGTTGAATTTGGTGAATGCTCCCTCGTGACTAGTCTCATTTTGTCGGTCTGGGGCTCCACGCATACATGTCTGAACCTCAATTATGTTGTGATCTGAGTATATTGTTTTTGATATGGTGACATTTCTTATCAGATCATCATTGTTAGTGAAGATGAGGTCTAGTGTATTCTCCAGTCTAGTAGGCTCTATTATTTGCTGGTTAAATTGAATTTTGTGCAGAGATTTAAAAGCTCGTGTGAGTGTGAGTTTTCATCAGAGCTGCCTCCTGGTGTTATTACTGCAACAATATTATTTGCTATATTCCTCCATTTTAGGTGCCTTAAGTTGAAATCCCCCAGGAGCAAGATGTTGGGTGCAGGAGCTGGAAGATTTTCCAGACAGTGGTCAATTTTAACAGCTGTTCCTGGAATTGCTGGGATGTTGCATCCGGAGGCTTGTAGACTACCACAATGACTAGGTTTTGGTTCTCGACCTTTACTGCTAAAACTTCCACTACGTCATTTGAGGCAGTAAGCAGTTCTGTGCAAACAAGTGACTCTGCAATGTACAGGCCAACCCCCCCCCTTTTGCCTGTTCACTCTGTCACATCTGTATAGGTTGTAACCTGGGATCCATATTTCGTTGTCCAAGTGATCCTTTATGTGGGTCTCAGTGAAAGCCGCGAACATTGCCTTTGCCTCTGCAAGCAGTCCACGGATGAAAGGTATTTTGTTGTTTGTTGCTGGCTTTAGACCCTGTATATTGCAAAGAAGAATGTTATCGGACTGGTGGTATTGTTGGTACTGGGGGGGGATTTTTTTTTCCGGCATTAGTATCTGTATCTGTTGGTTTGGAGTGGAGGCCATCGACTGTGGTTCCACTCCAGGAATGACTGGATTTGGTGTATGATTTCTGCCATTTCCTGCCAGTTTTTTTTCCTTCCTGGCACTAAAAACCTCTCCCTCTTGAGTGGTTGTGGCTACCCAGGTTTTCCCATGGCCTGGATGTTTTGTATCTTTTTGTCCCCTTTAGATGGTATGCCTGGCAATTTAAGTTATAGCACAGTCTTTCCTGTACTGAAGGGGTTTACACATTTCAGGGTGAAAAAGCTTACAGGAAGGGAGTTTGCATTTTCCTGTTGTCATATGGGCATGACATTTTCTAGGGTGGTCATAGTTGCATGTCCCATCTGTTTTTCCAGATTTCCCATGCCAGCAGATACCAAGTGCATAGTATGTGCACAGGCTTGGTTTCCGTTTGCCTTGGTTTCTGTGACTGTATTCCCCCGTTGGTGCATGTTTCCCTGTCTTACTTCTATCCTCCCTAGCACCAACAATGGAGCTCCCACCAGTTGTTTTTGGTAATTTATCCTCACTATTGCTATTGGAGTCCTCTTGTTTGCTATTTCCTGCGGTATTTCTAGTTTGCAATATTGGTTTTATCTTATCTTTGACTACACTTGTTTCCCTACTATGGCTCCTGTCCTCTATGAGGTCATTTATATGTATTCCTTCCTGCGTATAATTCCCGACTACCTGGACAAAATCTCCAGCTTCACCATTACTGTCTCCCAGGACAGTATCTCCAGCTTCACCATTACTGTCTCCCAGGACAGTATCTCCAGCTTCACCATTTCTGTCCCGACAGCACCTCCAGCTTCACCATTACTGTCTCCCAGGACAGCACTATCAGCCCCACATTTACTGACTACCAGGACAGCACCTCCAGCTTCACCATTACTGTCTCCCAGGACAGCACCTCCAGCTTCACCATTACTGTCTCCCAGGACAGCACCTCCAGCTTCACCATTACTGTCTCCCAGGACAGCACCTCCAGCTTCACCATTACTGTCTCCTCAGGACAGCACCTCCACTTCACCATTACTGTCTCCCAGGACAGCACCTCCAGCTTCACCATTACTGTCTCCCAGGACAGCACTATCAGCCCCACATTTACTGACTACCAGGACATCACCTCCAGCCTTACAGTTTCTGACTACATGGCCAGTATCAAGGGCAGTACCATTCAGCCCAGACTTTTTATGTTCCCATCTGTTGTAGAAAGCTTCCAGGTTTTCTATGAAAGCAGCTTTGATGTTATCCTCTTTTAATACCCTTGTGATTTTAGTCCACAGATTTTCCTCATTTGGGCATACCCAAAAACACTTCTCTGTTTTAATACTGCTTGTAGCTAGTTCTGGGATATCTGCACAAGGGGCGTGACACCAATTTCCACAAAAATGACAATTTATCCATGTGGAAGCCCGTTTGTTTTGACTGACCACAGACTACACACAGCTTCATAATGATTTGAATGGTTGATTTACTGCAATTCTACTAGCAACCTCTTGAATATTATATTAATAACTTTAAATGAAGCTCTAGCTATTTGTATTTCTGTTTCTAACTCTTTTTGTATATTGGACAGCTTACCGTCACGTTCCTGATTTTTAATGTTTGTGTTTATAAGGGCGCCTACAAACCCATCCGTTTACAGTCTGCTTTATTGTCCAACGAAACTGTTTGAAACCAGTCCCGGGTTCGGACCAGTCAAGGGTTCGGACCAGTCAAGGGTTCGGACCAGTCGATCTGCTCTGATCAGTGGGTCACTTATTTAAAACATACTGGTCGGTGATTTGAGCTAACACATGAAGGATCTACTGGAAATTATCTACCCGGCAAAATCTAAATCTAATCTTCCTATTCCAGCCAGCGATTTCATCGACCTTGTTGAACTGTGTGTTGGCTTTACGTGTTTCTCTTTCGAAAATCACCTCTTTCAGCAGACTTTCGGACTACCCATGGGTTCGCCACTTAGTGCCGTACAAGCGAACCTATAAATGGAACATCTGGAAGCCAAGCGATTTTCCACTATTATTCCCTCTTCTGTCACCTGGCTCCGTTGTGATGACGACATTTTCATCATAACTTCCAGACGCTTCAACTTCAAGCTCTCCAACACAAGCTTAACCAGGTCGAGCCCTCAATCCAGTTCACACTAGAAGTCGACAACACTCTTCCTTTCCTTGACGTTCTTCTCTGCAAAGCTGACCATGAACTTCGTTTTAAAGTCTATCAGAAACCTACCAACCAACACGATCTTCTCCACTTCTACTCTCACCATAGGCTTTTTCCTGCTTGCACTCAGAATCTGCAGCAATGAGTTTCTTGAGGAAAAATGCTCTCTTATTGAACAAGTATTTTCTAAACTTCACTATCCTCGTCACTTTATTAGAGACTGCAGATGATGGACATTAAACATCTTTAACCCACTCAGAGAAAACACTGCCGAGAAGAGATACACAGTCCTCCCCACCAGTAGTAAAGGTCGAGAACCAAAACCTAGTCATTGTGGTAGTCTACAAGCCTCCAGATGCAACATCCCAGCAATTCCAGGAACAGCTGTTAAAAATTGACCACTGTCTGGAAAATCTTCCAGCTCCTGCACCCAACATCTTGCTCCTGGGGGACTTCAACTTAAGGCACCTAAAATGGAGGAATATAGCAAATAATATTGTTGCAGTAATAACACCAGGAGGCAGCTCTGATGAAAACTCACACTCACACGAGCTTTTAAATCTCTGCACAAAATTCAATTTAAACCAGCAAATAATAGAGCCTACTAGACTGGAGAATACACTAGACCTCATCTTCACTAACAATGATGATCTGATAAGAAATGTCACCATATCAAAAAACAATATACTCAATCACAACATAATTGAGGTTCAGACATGTATGCGTGGAGCCCCAGACCGACAAAATGAGACTATCACGAGGGAGCATTCACCAAATTCAACTTCAATAACAAAAACATAAAGTGGGACCAAGTAAACCAAGTCCTAACCGATATAAGCTGGGAAGATATACTAAGCAACACAGACCCCAACTTATGCCTAGAACAGATTAACTCGGTGGCACTCGATGTATGCACAAGGCTTATTCCTCTAAGAAAAAAGGAGTAGATGTAAAACAGAAAGAGACAGGCGCTCCCTTTACAGGCGACGGAAAAGAATAACAGAGGGGCTAAAAGAGGTCAATATATCTGAAATGCGTAGGGAGACACTGGTCAGAGAAATAGCAAGCATCGAACTTAAGCTAAAAGAATCCTTTAGGAGTCAGGAATCGCGGAAGAACTAAAAGCCATAAATGAAATCGAAAGAAACCCAAAGTATTTCTTCTCCTATGCCAAATCAAAATCGAGAACAACGTCCAGTATTGGGCCCCTACTTAAACAAGATGGGTCCTACACAGATGACAGCAAGGAAATGAGTGAGCTAACTCAAGTCCCAATATGACACAGTTTTTAGCAAGCCGCTAACCAGACTGAGAGTCGAAGATCAAAATGAATTTTTTTTGAGAGAGCCACAAAATTTGATTAACACAAGCCTATCCGATGTTATCCTGACGCCAAATGACTTCGAACAGGCGATAAATGACATGCCCATGCACTCTGCCCCAGGGCCAGACTCATGGAACTCTGTGTTCATCAAGAACTGCAAGAAGCCCCTATCACGAGCCTTTTCCATCCTATGGAGAGGGAGCATGGACACGGGGGTCGCCACAGTTACTAAAAACAACAGACATAGCCCCACTCCACAAAGGGGGCAGTAAAGCAACAGCAAAGAACTACAGACCAATAGCACTAACATCCCATATCATAAAAATCTTTGAAAGGGTCCTAAGAAGCAAGATCACCACCCATCTAGAAACCCATCAGTTACACAACCCAGGCAACATGGGTTTAGAACAGGTCGCTCCTGTCTGTCTCAACTATTGGACCACTACGACAATGGTCCTAATGCACTAGAAGACAAAAAGAATGCAGATGTAATATATACAGACTTTGCAAAAGCCTTCGACAAGTGTGACCATGGCGTAATAGCGCACAAAATGCGTGCTAAAGGAATAACAGGAAAAGTCGGTCGATGGATCTATAATTTCCTCACTAACAGAACAGAGAGTAGTCGTCAACAGAGTAAAGTCCGAGGCAGCTACGGTGAAAAGCTCTGTTCCACAAGGCACAGTACTCGCTCCCATCTTGTTCCTCATCCTTATATCCGACATAGACAAGGATGTCAGCCACAGCACCGTGTCTTCCTTTGCAGATGACACCCGAATCTGCATGACAGTGTCTTCCATTGCAGACACTGCAAAGCTCCAGGCAGACATCAACCAAATCTTTCAGTGGGCTGCAGAAAACAATATGAAGTTCAACGATGAGAAATTTCAATTACTCAGATATGGTAAACATGAGGAAATTAAATCTTCATCAGAGTACAAAACAAATTCTGGCCACAAAATAGAGCGAAACACCAACGTCAAAGACCTGGGAGTGATCATGTCGGAGGATCTCACCTTCAAGGACCATAACATTGTATCAATCGCATCTGCTAGAAAAATGACAGGATGGATAATGAGAACCTTCAAAACTAGGGAGGCCAAGCCCATGATGACACTCTTCAGGTGGCCCGGTGGCCTGGTGGCTAAAGCTCCCGCTTCACACACGGAGGGCCCGGGTTCGATTCCCGGCGGGTGGAAATTCCGACACGTTTCCTTACACCTGTTGTCCTGTTCACCTAGCAGCAAATAGGTACCTGGGTGTTAGTCGACTGGTGTGGGTCGCATCCTGGGGGACAAGATTAAGGACCCCAATGGAAATAAGTTAGACAGTCCTAGATGACGCACTGACTTTCTTGGGTTATCCTGGGTGGCTAGCCCTCCGGGGTTAAAAATCCGAACGAAATCTTATCTTATCTTATCTTATCACTTGTTCTATCTAGGCTGGAATATTGCTGCACACTAACAGCACCTTTCAAGGCAGGTGAAATTGCAGACCTAGAAATGTACAGAGAACTTTCACGGCGCGCATAACGGAGATAAAACACCTCAATTATTGGGAGCGCTTGAGGTTCCTAAACCTGTATTCCCTGGAACACAGGAGGGAGAGATACATGATTATATACACCTGGAAAATCCTAGAGGGACTAGTACCGAACTTGCACACGAAAATCACTCACTACGAAAGCAAAAGACTTGGCAGACGATGCACCATCCCCCCAATGAAAAGCAGGGGTGTCACTAGCACGTTAAGAGACCATACAATAAGTGTCAGGGGCCCGAGACTGTTCAACTGCCTCCCAGCACACATAAGGGGGATTACCAACAGACCCCTGGCAGTCTTCAAGCTGGCACTGGACAAGCACCTAAAGTCAGTTCCGGATCAGCCGGGCTGTGGCTCGTACGTTGGTTTGCGTGCAGCCAGCAGCAACAGCCTGGTTGATCAGGCTCTGATCCACCAGGAGGCCTGGTCACAGACCGGGCCGCGGGGGCGTTGACCCCCGGAACTCTCTCCAGGTAAACTCCAGGTAAACTCCATTGCCAAACACGTTTCCAATATCTTTTCCAGTACCTCATTCCAAGTATCTACCTCCGCATCCACCACCATCAAGGACATTACCAGTAACAGACAGGACAAGCTTCAATCCTCTGCAAGGGTATACACAATCCCTTGTAATGACTGCAGCAAATTATACGTCGGCGAAACGTCCAGAGACCTTCAAACACATATTTCAAGCAGATCTGACGATTTAAGGAATGCCTGTGTTCAACACCGAAATTCACACAACCATTTAATCAACTACAGAAACGCAAGACTTATCGCCAGAGAACAAAACACTTAATACAGCAGAATCCTGGAATCATCACTTATCTGAACCCCTTGCCAAGAAACTTCTTCATCGTTATCCCACACAGGCGTCGCTAGAGTTGGTGTCACCAGGGGCGGAACCTCTGGTGTCACCCCCATGAAATTCAAGGGCGGGGGGATGGATGGTAAACTCCAGTTATGTCACTACTGCCCCATGAGCTCTATCATACCTCTCCTTAAAACTATGTATGGTTCCTGCCTCCACCACATCACTTTCTAGGCTATTCCATGGCCTGACTACTCTATGACTGAAGAAATACTTCCTAACATCCCTTTGATTCATCTGAGTCTTCAACTTCCAATTGTGACCTCTTGTGTCTGTGTCCCATCTCTGGAACATCCCGTCTTTGTCCACCTGTGTGTGTGTGTGTGTGTGTGTGTGTGTGTGTGTGTGTGTGTGTGTGTGTGTGTGTGTGTGTGTGTGTGTGTGTGTGTGTGTGTGTGTGGTGTGTGTGACTCAACAATCAATATTTGCACCAATAACTCATTACAGTTGTGACCGGGTGTGGAAGTGTGAATTGCTCATTACTCTATAATTTGTTCATGATTGTAGCCAAAGTATAAACGTAAGTAACCATTCTACAGAATTCATTACCTTTGTAACTTGTGAGCTCATTACCTTTGTACCTAGTTCAGCTATCAAAACTTTGGGGGCCCAGTCCCTGGACCCATTACGTACCTCTGTAATCTGTAAATACCTTTGTAACTTGTCATGATTGTGACCAGACTTACCTGGAGTTCATTACCTTTGTAAATTGTGAGTTCATTACCTTTGTAAATTGTGAGTTCATTACCTTTGTAAATTGTGAGTTCATTACCTCTGTAACTTGCTCAGCTATCAAAACTTTGGAGTCCAGTCCCTGGACCAATTATGTACCTCTGTAATCTTTTGACTACCGCCCACAGGATGGGTATGGGGTGCATAATAAACATATTAAACTAACAACTGCATGACCAGTGACAA